GCGAGGGCCGCGACGGCCGCGAGGACCGCGAGCGGCGCGAGCGGCGGGGCGAGCGGCGGGAGCGGCGCGAGGACCGGTGTCTTGGACGTGCAAAGAGTGGGTGGGTGGGAGGAGGAGGATTGGGCCGGAAGAGGACATCATGTAAGTCTCGGTATTGGAGGGCAGCCTTGGTGCCCAAGACATTTGGATGAGTTTTTCTTCAGACTTGCCAGGTGCTGCTGTCCAACTGACCGACTTAGAAGGAGTTCAATCCCTCGGTCTCCAAAAGGATGATTTTATATTCAGATGGGACCCCATCATCGGGCTGACATCACTTGGTGTCTTCCTCTTCTGACTAATTGGTGGAAGGTAGATTTTGAAGAGCTCCTCCTGGTGGGAGAGCAGCTGCACCATCCCATCGCACCCGGGCCGACCCAGCCGGGCGATGGCCCACGGTTTTCGACGGCTTCCGAGGAACGCCGAGGAAGAGAGCGGCTCGGACACGGGCTGTGGACAACGGGGGCCGGTGGAACGGGGCGGTGGTTCGTGGTGCTTCGCGGCTTTGGCTCGGTCGCGCCATGGGGGTTTGGCAGCTGAAGATGCACCAGCAAGGGGGGCAGCACTCTAGTCTGTGTCCGTAACTGAACAGATGGGATCCTCGACCCCCCCCGCGATGACCAACCCAACCCCCCCCACCCCGATGCTTTGGGGGCTCAACAAGGAGGTCCAAGGCTCCCTCCCAAAGAGAAGGCTGCCTCCAATGCCACGGAGAAGGCTCCCTCCCATTGGGAGAACACCGAACCCCGAGGCGATTCGTCCGAGCCGGAGAAGAGGAGCGGAGCGGAGCGGAGCGGAGCGGGGGGAGGAGTGACAGGGGGTCATGCCGGTCAGGGAACGGAAGGGAACCCGGGGAGTGGAGTGACGTGGCTGCGGCCGGAACGGGGGGAAAAGGATTTACTTTAACATACTTTAACTTTTTTTGTTGTATTTTTGGGGGGTCGGGTGGGGCGATGGGGAGGTCGATGGGGAGGTTGAGGATTTGAGTTGAAAACACGAATTATCTCTGTTATTTGTGATGTGATCATGGGATGTCATGTGGGGTGAGCCTTTTTGGGTTTGAACCGGGTGCTGGTTCCGGTGTTTCCCAGGAAAAGAGCTCGACAGGGCGACAAGAAGCCTAGGAAGGACGAAGAGAAAGACCGCAAACGAAAAAGCTCCGGGGGCCCAGCGTTCGCAGCTGCCGTTCGAAACCGCGTGTGTTCGAATGCTTCTGGAGCTGAAGGGAATGCTGCTTACAACACTGGTCCGGTTTTGACAGAAAAGCCAACACTGATCCTTGCCTTCGAACACAAGGGGTTCACCCTCTGCGCTGCTACCGAAAAAGAAGGGGGTTCACCTGGCTGGAAAGGTCTTCAAACATTCATTTGCAGGTCTCCCAACTGGAGACCCCATTGGAAAGCGCTTAGAGGTCTGAGGCGCCCTGGCCGCCCTGGCCCGACTGAGTTGATCCGACGAAGATCGCCCACCCTCTCCTCAGTGCTTCGGACCTTTTAAAGCGCTGGAACTGGCGGAAGCTGAGGTAAAAAGGAGGAGGAAGAAGAGGAGGATGATGACGATGAGGACCAGAAACTGTGAAAGATGATGTAGGAAGGCTCTCAACTCTCTTGGCTCTCACCTCTCTTGACTCTAGTGGCGTCAAGAAGACAGCACACAGGCATGCACAACGTCTGTTTTTGGTTCATTCCAAGCGCACTTTGCCAGGGTCTCGCGGGTGCCAAAAGGTTATTCTTCATCTTTTTTTGCTTACAGTAAGTGGTCCCTTGGTTTCAAGCCATCGCCAGACAGGTGTTGGCCTTTTGCTAGGTGCCATTTGCACGCTGGACTTGTTTGTTTCTTTTACACGTTCCACTCCAGGAGGCTGATGAGGACGACGACAAGAAGGACGAGGCGGGCTTCGCTGCCATCCACAAACGATGATGGACTGAACGAAAGGCGCTTCATTGGGACCGCTAGATGGTGCTGGACTCGAGTGAAAACAACGCGACTCAAGATTTCAACCATTGGACGCTGCTAGATCAATTCCAACAAGACTTTGTGGTCTCTATGCTGTCTAGCTCAGGTGCTCAAGTAGACTTCTTTGGGGCTTGGGTAGTTCTCCTTGAGCCTTCGTGATGGTTCTCAGGTGCAAGAAAGACTGCCTGAGGGATGGCTTCTGCCAGACCCAGCTGACAGACCTCTGACTGTTTCCGACCCGAGGGCACCGGATTCTCACGTGGATGTTTAAATAAAAAGGCTCGGTCTCTGGATGGAGAACCAATGATTGTTTCAGCTACCCTCCGACTCAGATTCCTGGAAGTGGATAGCTATCTTTTCCTCCCGTGGTCAGACGGTTTTTCCTCCACAAACAGGGAAGATGTGGTCAACTACTCCCCAGCAACTTGGAGTGGGTTCGAAGGAAGTGAGGGGGCCTCGCCCCAAGCCTTCTGCTGCGCCCCAAGCCGTTGAACAGGATGAGGAGGACGAGGACAAAGATGAGGACGGTTCGATCCTTTTTGTTTTCTTCCCTTCGCGCAGGCGTAAAAATCAAAAGTGAGTTGCTCAAGTCTCTCTACATAAATGTCGGTCTTGTCACTGCTTTTTTTTGGCGCACTGACGAGGGGCTCCCACCCCACCGACGACCCACCGGGCGATGACGAGACGTTGCACCCCGCCCGTCGTCGGCAGGGAGTTCCGGGTGCCTTTCCAGCCCCAATTCTGGCCCCAAGTGGCATAAACTAACATGAATGGCCCTGCGGATGTAGAGCTGACTCAGGACGAGGAGGAGGAGAAGAAAGAAGATGAGAAGGCGCAAGAAGATGCAGTCGCCTGAAGAAGTGGTGGGAGACCTCATGAAGACTTCAGGGAGCCTTTCTTTTGATTGCCAAGGAAGAGACTTCCTTTTGTTCAACTTTTTGGATGTTTCTACCACTTCACCCATGTTGGTCCTAGTTGTGTCAACGAGGAATAAGAGCAAACCCTCCAGTGGTGTTGCCAGTTTCCTCCTTTCAAGTCTGTGCAGGGACCTAGGAAGTTGACTTTCCTTTGCCAGTGGACCAAGACCTATACATCAAAGGATCGGTTTTGAAGGCAAGGGAAAATAGGGAACATCTACAGCAAACCATCGTTTTCACCTCCAAACACTATGGGATTCTTCCGGAATCTCTGCTGATCTCTTCTGATCTCTTCCGAGTGGGACTCCCTCCAACGCCTCTTCCAACTGCTGTATGCATGTGACTCACAGATGTCCTGCCAGGGCAAGGGCGAAGGGAAGTCGCAGGAGTGGGAGTGGACAGGGAGGAGGACGCACGATCCAGGTGACCGGAGTCCTTGTCTGGGTGTCCTTGCAGACTCCTCGACGCTCCCGACCCGAAGACGGCAGCGTAACAGAAACATAAACAATTAGAACACATAAAGATCAACATGTCATGAAGTATGGATGAATGGAGTGATGCAGATACTGATTTTCCCTTTGGAATTTTAGGTGTGAGAAGCTTCAGGCGTACTGGTTGGAGAGGGAGCCAATAGGCTCCGTGAATTGGCTCCGTGAATCTTTATATTGGGTGGATGTGAAGAAAGAGTTCGAGCAGTTACAGAATGTTGGGGAGGAAAGGCTTTCACCAAAAGCTTGGTGTTTTATGCTTTTGTGGATCCGAATACTGTAACCCAAAGATATGACGAGACCTTCAAACCCAAGATTGGGTAAAGGTCTTTGTCACAACAGTGGTATGGTGGGGGCCTCACCTTAAAATGGCTCAACAAGGAATACTTTGGTCTACTCTAGGCAAAGTCTTTCTGAGGACAACAAAAATTCTAGGACAAGGACTGAAGAGGAGGAATGAATGGCGGAAAGGCATCGGGAGGACGTGGGGGACTAAGAAAGCCTTTAACCATGGATGTAATCAGACATGCTGAACATGCAGGGGACTCATAATTTAGCATCGCAAGCGCCAGCTTTTTCCACGGCAACCTTCTCGTTCTTCTTCCAAAAGGAGAACAATCCAACCGGAAAGATTCCAGGTACCTGAGGTACCTGGCAGCTGCTTGCACCCCCAAACTCTGTGTTGGGCCATCTCTTGAGATAGTAAACCAACTCTAAATGTGGTCTTCGGAAATCCCTCCGGCCCTCCGGCAGGAGACAGAGAAACTCAAGTTAGACAGGCGTGGAGCGCCGTGGAGTGGGTGCGACTTGGGTCGGACAATTCTGGATGATTTTGAGGAAAGTCCGCCTTGGCAGCTGGTCTTTCTGGTGTTTGCATCGCCTTGATCTTGTTGAAGCGACCTGTTTTTGTTCTTGTTTTTGGCTGAATAGAACGGCCGAAGAGCCACCATCTCCGCCTCTATGGACTCTTGGGGCTAAGAGTCTTCATGACGCAACCAGGCAGCTTCCAGTCTTTCTGGTTTGATTTGTTCTAACTCGAACGGTAGGAGATGCACCAACCTTTTGAAGAGGAGGTGAAGACATGCTCCAGCGAACCAAGCACTTGCTGTAGCAGGCCATCGCACCTTGGTCCGAAAAATGGACCGCGAGAGCCACGCACCGCGCCAGGCGGGCCAAGCGACACGTGCTCAAGGCCAAGGTGAAATTCTTTAGCACCTCGATCTGCGATGATTCTTTCGGTTTCGAAGGCGCATTGGACCATGTGCATTGGACCATGTGCGCAGAGATGGGAATGTGGACCATGGGGGCTGGCGTGTGGACCATGGGGGAGAAAGAGCTGCTTAGCTTGTTGGTCGCTACAGCCACCATAGCTGCGTCATGTCTCGCAAGTGGCCTACGGCCCTACGTGGTTTCATTTTGTTCCTGCGGGCTCCGATCTGAGGTTTGCAAGTGCAGCCCTCAGCCGTGCGGCGTGTGCAACCGCCAGTTGTCCCGTTTAGATGGCGAATGGATTGGGGTATGGTGCAGGCCGTTTTTCTTTTTTCCATTTGAACATCTCATGTTTGCCCCTCCGGCTGAATCACACGTGCTCTGACCAATCGTGCGCTCTGGGCGACGACGCTCAGGTGCAGCTCAGCGGCTTGGAGACGGACTCGGCGGAGCTTGGGAAGCAGAAGGAGGCCGGGCTTTCGGGCTGGCTTGGGGAAGCAGGAGGAAGGGGGCACCTCCCAGGAAGCATTTCTCGGGCCAAAACTGCTCCGTGGGCGAAGCACTTCACCTGAGAAATCCTGAGAATCTCTACCAGTTCGATCCTTGAAGGGTTTTTAACAATCGCCCCTTCAGAGGTGAAACGGATGTCCATCTGAACCCACCTTCAACTTCACTCCGTGGCCCGCGCGAGGCGCTAGTGGAACAGCAGAGCGAGCTGCCTGAGAAGTTAGAGAAGGAGGAGGAACAACGTTGGGGCGCCCGGGAGCCACCCGCCACGCCCGCCCACCGCGCGGTGTGGGCACTGTGTAGGGACCCTGCGGACTTTTCCCCAGACGCTCAGGAGGGATCAGCTGGAAGAGCTGTTTCGCTGTCGGGTGGGGGGCTCCGCCCTGGCGGCTCTTCGGTGGAGCGCAGAGACATACCCCGTCGTCCCCAGTGGCCGAGGCCAAAAGCGGCTGGCGAAGCTGCAGGCGAAGCGCGAGGAATTGAAGAGCGAAGAGGCTGCCAGCGCAGCCAAGCGGGGCCCCTGGTGAAGAGCCCTGCAAGGTTGGAGGCTTTTCAGCAATTTTTGATGTACTGTAATAGATGTTCAGACACTTGGCAAGGTTGGAATCAATTGCTGTTTTCTTTTGGAATGTTGAAACAGTGCTGAGGAGAGCCTCGATAATTGAATCAATTCAACACACGTTGCATACACCCAGGAAGTCCAAGACCATGTTTAAAATGGTTCGTTTGGTTTTGTAGTGTAAGATCCTTAGTAAAGCAATGATTGTTCGGTATGGTGGTGGTAATGAAATAGATGGTGGTTCGACTTCTGGGGTACATATCCATACACACACACACACCTCCAACCAGAACTCTTCTGGCAAATCCCAAGAATCCCTCAGATCTCAGATGACTTTTGAGAAAAAGCCAAATCCCTCTGTTCGGAAGCTGTTGGAGCATGTCCCGCTGGCCGAGGCTCAATGATCAGGAGGAGGCGCGAAGACAACAAGCAGAGCCTTGGCAGCCTTGGACCAGCGCATTGAAACAATAGGGGGACACTGGCAGACGTTTCAAGTGCGTTTGACCCACGTTTGTCGGCCCCCAAACTCGCCACGTCTGGCTTTTCATTTCGCTCGCAGCTGCGCAAGAGCACCCAGGAGGCGCGGAACCAGAAGCACCAAGAGCTGAAATCCGCGCTGGAGAAGACGAAGAAAGAGATCCTTGAGGAGTGGTTTCCTTTTGGCACTGCTGCATTGGCCGTTGCTCTGGATCGGTTGTGAAGCCACGAGTTTCCTTTAGGCGGGCCATGTTGTATAGCCGAACAAATATGAGGCATGTGGTCCGCCTGTGGGGGACACCGGACACCCTGCTTCTCAGCTCATCAGATTCCGGAAGCCCCAAAATACGGTAGGAAAAAGGACCAACAGTTTGCTGACTTCAATGGTCCCTCTGTATCATTGATCTCTCTGATCGAGGGAAATACCTTCTTGACCGAACCCCAACCCCTGCTCCTGTTGCAGCACCTGTAGCACCAGGAGCAGCGCCGACACAAGGAGAGGGGTGTGGGTCGCGGTCGCCGCCGGGTGCAGCCCCTGCGAAGGGTCGGAAGTGGATGCGGGTTTAGCAGTGGAAGAGGGAACGCCTCCCCCCCCAGGAATTGGAGTTGTGGTCTATTTCCTGAACCCTTCAAGGGGGGGTCGGAGGAGGCCTGGGAGGTTTCCCCCCGGATTTTTACTTATTTTTTCGCTCCGCACGCAAGACCATGTGAGTTCAACCTGGGTCGAGCAGCAGCTTTTTGGGGCTTCTGGGACCTGGGAGGTTGCGGAGGAGGATGGTGTTGGGTGCTTCGGGTGCTTCTCCCAGCAAGCGGACTTTTTTGGATGGAAAGAGTCACCCAGGCAAGGGAGACCTTTGGTTGCCCGAGAGTATAGCTTTCCCTGATGATGGAGGCAGCTTTGGGGCTTCTTTGATTGGACGTCAGGAGGTCAATAGGTCGCCAGGAGGTCAGAGGGGGAAATCTTCAGCGTTGTTGATGGTGCCCGAGCAAAGGTGATCGGGGACCGTGGATGTTTTCGAAGATTGGGAGGGCTCCCAGGATGGGTTTAGTGACAGGAACGGCTACCAGTCACTCTCAGAAGGGCTGATGTTCCTCTTCCGGATTCAGTACTTTCCATGCCGCCAAGCGGTGCGGTGGCTCTGCGGACTCATCCGGACTGCATCGAACGAGTTAAACTCACTCGACTCGCGCGGAGGAAAAGATGGCGGAGCTCCGGAAGCAGGAGTCCGAGTCGCAAGGCACCAGGGGGAAACCTGGTCAAACGGGGTGGGTCAAAGATGGAGAGGTGGAGAGATGGTGGTGAGGCACTGGAAACTGAAGTCAGGGCCAGACTGCACAGACCCTGAAGAAATCAGGGAACCTGTGTGTTTTGGAGTTCAGAATTGTAGGAGAGGAGACAGATCAAACTGATGGCATCGCTGTATTTCAGCTTTCGGCATGGAATTCCGAACCTTCTGAAGTCACCAGGCTTCTTAGTTGAAGGATGTTGAAGGTTTGATCACCCTTCGGAACGCCACTGGATCCCGGCCACGCAGGGCAGATCGATAAGATTCTCAAAGAGATCGATGAATTCGATCGTCAGTTGGGTGAGGAGCAGGCCCGGTGCGGAGCGGTGGTGCGGTCATTCGTGCGGTAGGGGAAGGTGCGGTCGATGTGATGAGAGGAGGTTCGTAGAACTGAGTTCGTAGCATGCCCCAGAGTCCAGTTCTCCGACCCAGTTCGGTGCCTCTGGCACATGGAAGTCATCTTCGCTTCATGAAGCAACAGATGAGAACTGTTCAGGAAACACCAACCCCCCCTGGGGGGATCACTCTCTTGGTTGGTCCACATGGAAGGCCTCTCGGACCGCGGCTCCCACAACCGGACTCACCCACCTCAACCCCTCCAGGAAAGCCTCTCTGGGCGGCGTTTCTTGGATCGAATGGTCGGGAAGGAGTGTGTTTCGGGGGGACCGGGGTCAGGAGCCACAAGGGTTTCGGACCATCGACCATTTGTTGAGTTGTAAATAGAAGAAGGGATATGATGTTTACATATGTTTACCTTTTTGCTTTTATGGGTGTTTCTGGTGAAGACCCTTTGTACACATTGCTTGCCACTTGGCTGCTGAACAATGACTCAGTACCTACTGTCAGCAGTGGGTAGAGCCGTATGTTTTGCCCCCCACTCTTTTTCCCACGCTTTTGAGGTGCGCGACTGCAACAGAAGACGCAGGAGCTCACCGCTCAGGCGATGGTTGGAGCGTTGGTCGGGAGGTTCCAAAAGGACTCCCGCTGGAAGCATATGGTGATAGGACACCCTGTGGTTTTTGCCGTGTCTGCACAACGTTCGAGAGGGATTGGATCAATGAACACCCCTTGAAACGAACGTTCTCGTTCGTTTGGATGGCTTCGTTTGGGGTGCGGGTGACGGTCACATCTATGCGACGGACGCTGCAGAATGAGAGACGTCACATCTGAGCGTTTTGGACCTAGTGACCTAGTGGGATTCCCAAAATCCGCGCAATCAATCGCAGAATTATGCAAAAAACGCCTGATTCAGGCATTTCCTTTACTTATGCCTGAGGCGTTGTGCCAAAGAGTCTTTGGACCCCTAGGACATCAAGCACATCTTTTGGAAGAGGTCCCAGCACCTCGAGTCTGCTTGCGGCCGAAAGCAACAGCAGATGCAGCAGACGGATTCTGTTCCGCATCACCCAACTGGTGGTCAAACTAGGGTTGATTAATCGCCCTCCCTTCCTTCCTCTTCCTTCCTCTTCCATCCTCTTCCATCCTCTCCCTTCCTCTTCCTTCCTCCGGTGTCCTCCGGTTTCCTCCGGTTTCCTCCGATTTCCTTCGGCTTCCTCTTCCTCACTTCCTTCCTTCCTAACATGGGACGCTTTTTGTTTCCACCAGCCAGGTGGAAACCCTCGAAGAAGAGAGCCGATCTTCTAAGTCGCTCCTCCAGGAGGAGCGCGGAAACCCGTGCTTACTTTGAAACCCGTGCGGTCCGAGAATGTGGATCAAATTGATGTTTTTGAACCATTTTCCTTTGCATGAATGAATTGAATGGTGACTGTTGATGAATTGGATTAAGTGAAAACACACCACACCAGAACATACCAGAACAATTTCACCTCTCCACACTGGGGGTGAAGCAGCATTTTTTTTGTAAATCAACAGGCAACAGGTGCCGCGTGTTTGTTTCTCCTTTCTTTTTTGTGGAGAGACTTTCTTGCTTTTCTTCCTTTTGGATGCATTTGGGCCCTGGTCCAGTGTGGTGAGACGAGCAGAGCCGTCACGGCATCGACATGGGATCCGCGACGAGCGATCGCCACGATCGCCAGGAGCAGAAGAAGCAGGAGGAGGAGCTGGCAGAGCTTGATCGTCCGCGAGCCCGGCGAGGGCGATCGCGACCGCGGAGTCGATGGACTCAGGTGGTTGGAAGAAGGAGCCATCAATGAAAGAGACACCGTGAGAGGCACACCATCAACGGTTTGACCCCCCCACACCCTTGACGTGTGGTTTCTTGAGGTCAATGGAAGACACCGAAGGGGAAAAAAACCGTTTTGTAACGCCATCGGTGGTGTCAGACCAAGGGTCCAGGCCATTGTTTCTCGGAGACCCAAAGACGACATGACTCGGACATGACTCGAAGAAGCGGATCGAAGGGTCCTGTGAAGAAGTTGGTCTCGGTGTTTGGTTGTGACGACCGAAGGCTGTAGAAACTGTAGAAACTGTAGAGGGTTGATGATCAACCTTTTCCTGCAAAAAAAAACACAAGCAGCTCTTTGGCCCGTGTTGGACTGAGTGGTGCTGCAACTCTAATTCTACTACTATTGTTACTGGTCATTTAGTTGGTGGCATTTGGGGGGACTTGGTGGTCACATAGCTAGTCCACCTCCAGAAGCTTAAGGGGCGCCATGGCAGGGACTGCTCCGCAAGATAGAAAGGGACACTCAAAAATTTGTTAAGAATAGGTCCATATTGGTCCATTTGCTGGAGGTCCATCTCACCATGAATCTTGACCGCTTGAACATGACAATGTCAGACGCCCCCACGACAGGGCAGGGGGTACGGCTGAGGCAAGATCGAAGAGTGCTCGACCCAGCGACCTGGCAAGAACTTCGACGTTAGTCAATTCCAGGGTGCTGGGTCAACCGCAGGGGTTCACCCGGCGACGGCGACGAACCGTAGGGGTTAGCTGCGATAGATGTTGCGACAAGTGCACTTTGAAACTGAAGAGGCAAACTTCTACATTTTGATCTTTGACTTGGAAACAGAGTCCTCTCTGAACAATCTGTTTGGCAGCTCCTTTTCTCTGGAGGCAGGTTGTTGTCTTCCACACCCTGCGAACACCCGCGGAACGCCGCGGGTGTGGAAGGCTGCAAAGACTCGAAGTCCCTTCAATAAGGAGGAGGAATTCATACTCGAGAACCCCAGATGTATAGGAAAAGGAGCCCTCACTGGTTCGCACCAGGTGAAATACAAGCTACTTAACCAGCAGCCATGGTGAAATACCGTGACGCTTGCAGGTTGAGCGGAAGGGCGGTGAAGGGGAGTCCCCTGTTTGGTATTCGGAGTGGAGAAACAGCTCGGAAGCCACCGTGCGTTCAATGGCAGCAAGGAGATCACACTTGATTTGAAGGTACATGAGTCTACACGAAGCCTCACAGTAGGGTGGTTGTTGACCTTTGAACTTTATCCTTAATCAGACAAATTAGCATTTTTCACCCCACACCCTCGCAAAGGCACCGTCACTGCCCAGCACTCCTCAGCCGGACCCACAGGCGGCAGACGATGTCGGAGGAGCTCGAAAAGCTTGCGGCCAAGATGACGCTCGAGGCACGCACTCCAGGGAGCCCGCCCAAGCGAGCCGGGGCGTTGCGTGGTTCGGGTTGGGGGGGTGGAAGACCCCGGGCTGAGAGGACACGCTTCGCACGGTTCTTGCTTTTCTTGTTTCTCCTCATGTGGAACCCTGCAGAAGAAACAGATAGGAACAGGAGGTCGATTTTTTTTGGGTCGTTCTCCTTAAGGGTCAACCCCTTTTCTGGGGACACCCGATGCAATTGGTGGTCAACAACATTGGCCGTTCCACCAAAAAGGATGCGAAGCTCCAGGTTAATGAGACAGGAACCTCTCAGAGATTTGCTAACATTCCAGGCCTACAACTCTGCAACCTCCGTGTGGCGGTCCAGGGTCCCTTCTTTCGGTCGAGGTGTGACGACTCCGCAAGTGTGTGAGTCCTTGGATGGATCAATCTCTGCAAAAAGCAGATCAAGACAGTACGAAGCGACGGTGTCCCTTCTTTCCCAGTCCAGTGACTGTTTCTGGACGGTCTTGGCATTTGTTGGCCGCGTTTTCGCGAACCCCCCTCACCCAACCCCCGCGCGTTCTACGCGGGTCAGCACGCGTCCGTGAACGCGGACCGCTCGGCACGAGGCGCCCGAGGGCACCCAGCTGGAGAAGACCTTGGACCAGCTGGGTGAGGACGAGAAGGAACAGGCGACGTGACCCGAGATGTCGACACCAGACCGACGAAGGATGTTTTAACGAGCTCGGCCATGATGAAGCCGAGAAACCAAGCGGGGATGATTGGGTGTTGGATGTACATGATCATTTCCATAGACTCTCTTGCTTGTTGGATGTTGGAGGTTCACGGATTGCGTAGTTGGTCATCAAGACCTTGCTGGTTTTGTGTTACATTGACTTCACGCGCGGGAGCACAAGCACCAGCACAAAAGTTCAGGGAAGGACAAGCAATCAAATCGTTGGTTCTGACCGTTTGCTTCTGCATTTTTGGGGATTCAGTACATGGTTGATCATTATACCGCCTCGGTGTCTCAATATTTGGGTGCTAGTCACCATATCATTCCTGCGTGAATGAGCAATGGTTCCCTAAATGAAGGGAGAACTTCCCTATGAATCCCCTATCGAAGTCTGTAGAAAAATGCCTCTCTTCTTCTTTCCAGATGGAAGAACGACCGGAGGATGTTTTCTCTTGAAATCCTCCACCCTCGGCCAGACGAGCCAGAAAGCCTCCTTGAAGGTGCCGGGGGAGAGAGAGGTAGACCCCGTTCTCGGGGTTTGGTGGAAGGAGGTCGAACGACTGAGGGTGGTGAGGGTGGCGGGTTCCAAAACATGAGACCAAACTGGCCGGTGTGGAAAAGGACCTGAACCAAAACAGCTGGGTGTTTTGGGACACCTACGAGGTGAGTCATACCTCTTTACGAGGCTATGACCTTGTGGAGTGCAGGGCAAAGGGTCCGCGATGTTGCATGGAAGCGTGTTCAACAGGCTGTCTTGGGTTCGGCCCAAGGTTTCGGGAAGGGACCTTTGAAGAAAAGCACGTGGGGTTACAGGGTGACGCTCCCCGAACTCATCATGGTTTCCGTGGCATGCGCGGGAAAATGACCCTCCCCCACATGGAGGACCATAAAATCCGAATGCCAAACAGGTGGTGAACTCACTTCCACGCGAGACACCCCACCCTACTTCGAAGTTTTTTTTGTTTTTTGTTTTTCGGATTTGACTGGCAGGCCACTGGCTTCACTCTAATTCCCTCTTTGACACAGCAGGATTGATTAATGGAGAACAACGCTTCTTTTCAAGCCTGTGCAATGACAATCCTTGAGCCAGAGAGGGAACTCAGGCTGAGGTCACCCTCAACAAACGGAGATGACCACCAAGTTTGGGATACTTGTGAGTCTTCTTAGAGGACCAAAAGCCATCATGGAAGCCAATTCAAGCATGTGTTCCAGCTCTTATATACAGTATAGATTGTAGATGATCTTTCTGGGCCGTGTGATGGGACTGCAAGAGGCATCCAGATAAACCGTGTGGTTTTCCAAGCTGCGATTCTTCTTCTCAGCTGGGTCCCTGCAACCTGGGGCAGTCGTGAATCCAAGACACAATGTGGTTCTGGGCTCAAAGACCCCCCTGAACATGGGGGAAGGGGAGTTCCGAACAAGACGATGAGGGATTTGTTGTAGAATCTCATATATTACTATATATATATATAATATATATATATATATATATAATATGTATGTATGTTGCGGGTACGATTGTGAACCATCATCATCAGATAGAGTCGAGTTATAGACTTGCATCCAAGTGCCTCTCAGAGACTTTCAGACATCAACCTACTGTTACCTTGCACCCAGCGGAGGCTATCTCCATTTAATGCATGACCATCCATGTTTAATCTTCCAAGAGCCAAGCCCATCTACATCCCTTCTACCTTCCTCCTGATGTCTCCCCAGGTGAGATCCAATCCCGTCATCCCGCCCACCAGTCCAACGCTCCTCGTTTCACCCGACACATTTTCAGTCAGCGCTTTTGAGCGCGCTCTCATGCCGGCGCTGCCGTCGTCCACCTCTGAGGGAGATGCTTGGATGGGGTCAGTGGAGTCAGTGGAGGATTGGGTGGACGAGCATGGCTTTGCCAGGTGGTTTGTGGTTTGAAAGAGGATTGTCACCTTTTGGTGCATTAGTCACGAAAGGGCCCATAGGCCAGGCTGAAGATATGTTCTGTGAACGAAGTGAGTATTTACTGGTAATAGTATTTAGGGGTCTGGGGGCAGGCCTGGTATATATAGAGTGCATGTAAACCACGTTGGCCTGGTGGTGTCTACTGGTCGCAAAAAAAGTATTTTTGGTGTGTGGGTGATGCAGACGATGCAAGGTGCACGGGTTAGTGCATCATTTGCATCAGCAACTTTCTCTAAGGGCACTGTTTAGTTCAGTGTCTTGAATGAAAGCTGGAGGGCCATCAATCAGGTTCATGAAGGAAGGAAGGAAGGAAGGAAGGAACGAACGCACCATTTAGTTTATGTGTATTGAATGCTGCAGCGACAGGTGAGAGTGGCAACAGAGCAAGTGCAGCCTCCGCTAACTCCTATAAGAACATCGGAGACCCTCCCCTATGTAGGGGGACGCTCTACACTTGTACTGGCTTTCGTTTCCGCGTTCTCAGTTTTTCATTTCTTTTTTGTCAGCAGGGGGCATGATGGACTTTGTTGGATGATACTAGAGTTTTACAAGGAATTCTGTAATTCCTCGATCATGGTTGAGGAGCAAGCTTCCTCAAACTCTTCCACAACCCATGTCCTCCGCAGCTCCTCCGCATGCTTCGTCTTCGGTCTTTGTTCTCCCCAAGGCTCCACCTCCGAGCAATCGGCAGTCTTTGGACGCCACTCCGACCGGACCCACCGTCACCAGCCGACGGATCCTCTTGGCCAACCAGCCCAGTCGATCTCCGCGTGCTGCGGCGCCCCGAGGATGGCATGCTGGACGTGCAGATCACGGGCGCCGAGGAGCAGTTCACCTTGTCCCTGCACGACGCTCGGGATCGGGGGGGGAAGACCTCCCGCGGGATCGGGGGGTGGGCGGTTTGGGGTGGTTGGCCATGGCGGCTGGGGAGGTGGCCCGTGTTCCGTGGTATTTTTGAAAGCAATAAGTTGAACAGTTCGAAGAACTGGGGGAGGCTGCCGAGTCATTCGTGGAAGGCATGGATGGTTTGTCAAGAAGTTTCTTTGTTCCCCAAGTGTCTATTTTTGCTTTGTCAAGATGGGATGGCCAACGACCACTTGTCTGACTCAGACAGTGGCTTCTGCGAGAACACATGAGACTCTCTGTTACACCTTCCATTCCCCTGATCCCTGAATAAGTCCATCTTGAAAGAACTCTTCTCCCTCAACACCGACCATACTCAAAAGATCCTCAGCCACTCTCCTCCGTTCCACGGTATCCAGATGCTGGCACTGAAGAAAGGATCTCCAAGCAAGGTGAACCGATGTGAACCGATGTGTTGACCTGTCCCAACACGCCGTGTTGACACGCTCGCGCGCGCGGCATGCGCGGGGAGAACCAAGAAAGGACGAGAAGACGTGGACCGCGCTGCCCTGCCCTGCCCACACCGTCCTTCCCGCGCCCGCCGGACCCACGCGGCGCTCGAACACGAACGGTCCGCGGCGGCAAAGCAACGCGGCGGGGGACGAAAAGGCGGACGGGCTGAGGACGGTCTTCGGGGCAAGGAGCTTCTGACCATGGTGCGTGATCGTCTTCCAGTGAAGCCTCGCTGCACTGTCCAGCTCTGGACTGCCGAGGATCGCCAGGCGTGGCCCAAGGACTCAGGGGAGAAAGGTACTCGAACGATGCTGCTGTTTCCGGTCGTAGGGTGGCCATGGAGTCCAGGGGGAATTCGATTCTATTTCAGGGTGCTTCGTGCACCTTCTAAGCATTCCAAGTGTGGCAAGGTTTGGTGACCAGATTGGTTTCGATGGTTTGGATATCCATGTGGAAATATCCACTGTAGAATCACCAGGGTCATGGTTCCCGTAAAACACGTTTCATTGTTTCATTCCGCCCCCAGGAACTATGGGGGTGGCATTGCACGTCCACAGTGATGTTTGGATGACTAGGGTGAGAATAGATGATCCAGGCAACTGCTTGGGGTTTTCCCCCTTCCCGGACCGCATCTTGAAGGCGGAACAGAAGGGCGAGGTGCACGACCCACACGACTGGCCTTCGAAGCGGTCGAAGGGCGGGGGAACTTGGGATCACATGGGTCGATCTACCACCTTGGGGAGTTCTACGACCTTGGGGAGTTCTACCACCTTGGGGAGTTCTTGGGATATGAGTTGCATGGAACGTCAGATCTTGGATTTCTTCCTTGGGATTTCTGAAAATATGAGTTCCATGGGTAGAAGAACTAATGTACCATGGGCAGTCCAAGACTATTCAAAGAAATGGTCTAACTAGATGACCCGAGTTCAGGAATAGACAATGACTATGAAAGAGGTTTTACGATCCAACTAGGTAGGCTTATTCATCAAGAATCAAGAGTCTAGCATAGACTATGATAGGCTCTTGATTGATGAAGAACCCTCCCTGCTTGGATTGCAAGACCTCTTCTACCGCTCGTCCAACCGTGGGACCAATCCGATTCGCCGCTGTGGACGCGCGCATCGAGTCTACACAGACAGCACATCGAGTCTCCAGGTGAGAAGAAACACCGGCATAGACCCAAAGCCATGTGGGTATGTAGGGAAATAGCCAAACCATTGAGAAGTAAGAACCCCTATAGCTTGGAGCTATCTGGCGAAAAACAGAAGCACAAGAATTCCCATGTCGATAGCTGTTTTGAACAAGGAGTTCTTTAAAGCTGGCCAACTGGTCCAAAGAAAATCTCACAGCTGCCTCCACAATGGAGCCTCTTCATATGGGAGGTTTGAAACAGAATCAAGAGTTTGCATCAGCTGTTTTCATTCCGCGAAGTCCCAACCGCTTGGATGGACCAAAAGCAAGGTAGACCAGTCTACCCATTGCGGGGATTGGGGGGTTACCTATTCAAATACACACCCAAGCTTGAGCAAGCCAAGCTTCTAGAAGTGGCATAGGGCCAGATTGGCAAGTTAGCAAGCTGTCCCTATGGCTTTTACATGCTTTTACCCATTTTTGTTTTTGTTTGACTTGTTAAGCCACGCATATGCAGGGATTTTGACAGAACTCACATCACTCACCAGAAAGTCTCAACCAGTCTCAATCCTTGGCGAAAGCGCGAAAGCGCGAGGTGATCTTGAATCAGACGTTGAAGGAGCAGGGGCTTGGCACTTCCCCGAGTGCCATGGCGTTTTTTTAAAGTCTTCCCCGATGCTTTGCGCGTGGAGGGGAGAAGATCTGAATCATACATGAAGGCACGAATCCAAGCGATTTTGGCAGATCAAGATTCTGGGAGGTGTGCAGCTACGATCTGCGCCACGGTAGATGTTCTAGAAGTCAGTGAGTGATGTGAGGTGAGCAGTTGGCAAGATCCTGAGTTCGTATGAGCCGTGAGTCTACTTACTATATATCTACTTATATACTATATATATATATGTAGTATTTGAACAAGCATGATTACCGCAGCAATCATGAGTTTAGTCTGAGTTTATTGAAGCACTGTGAGCCTTTTTTGGGTCGGTTCCAGTAGGTGTGCCCAGGGCCACCACCTCGTTGAGTGCCGAGTTGGGGCGCTTGGTACCTCCTCAGCATAATCGCAGAACATGCCGGTGGCTTGTCAACACCTCGAACTCATGCGTGACTGAACCCAGCAAGATCGGGGGTCTGAAATCGCATTCATTCTTCGACACTTCCTAGGCTCCCGTGGCTTCGACATCCAGTCAGTCTTCATTCTATGAAGGGGGACGTCGGGTCGGCCCCCTCCACAGTCTGACGAGAAGTAAGAGGACCTCACAAGTCTTCTTGCCCTGAGTCGACACCTCCCCTCCCAAAAAAGGATTAAAAGGCTCCTGTGATAGAACCCATCACTCATCATACCCTTCAGCAGAGCTTTTCAGCAGACAGACGCTTCAGCAGACTCTGAAAAAGAGGCTTCTCCCACCGACGACCCCCAGATGGCCGGGTGGTTGATATTCATTTAGAGGCAAGACACCCCCTTTTTCATGGACTACCCAGTTAGGTCATGTTTACTACCATCGACCTCTGGATTCTTCTCTTCGAAAAAAGGACTGCCAAGGTCTGCCAATCCAATCCACACGATCTGCGGATCTTGGGAGGATCTCCGGATCCTCTGAGGTCTTCAGCTCTCCTACTCCTATGCTTCTTCGGATTTGCGGCCTGGAACCAATTCAGTCCGACCCTCCGACCGGTGTTCCACACCATTTTCAGAGCCCGGAGAAGGAGGAGCTGGGAGGAGCTGGGAGCGGAGCGTTTGAAACAGCGCGAGGGTGAAACGCCGTGAAACACCCATTTTCATCCATTTTCTGACAGATTCTTGGAGGTACCTCCTCATCCCTCAGCCTCTCCCAAGTCTCTGGTGCCCTTTCATCCTCCTCCGGAGTCGCGTCTCACGCGCGCCTCTCGAAGCGCCCCCGGTCACCGGGGTCTTCCGTCTTCGCCCTGACCTTCTTCCGTCGTCGTCGGCTTAAACCGCCATCGTGCCGATCCAGGTGGCACGCCTTTAAGATCCTCGAGGGTGAGGTGGTCCGCGAGGTCGACCACCACGCCTTGGACGGCGTCGTCCACGTGCAGTACGCCAAGCGCCCCGACCGGCGTTCGGCGTCCGGCGTCCGGCGACGTCCGGCGACGGGACTGTGAGACGGGTGGATCCGCCGGAGGCTCTGAATGAACATCAAGGTACAGCAACATCAGAAACAACTCGCGGTCGGGGTGCCGGATGCTTCCAGTGGTTGGTGGTCCCAGATTTGCTTTGAAGATGAAGACCCGGGGAGGTTGCAGTGTCATGCAGTGGTCTTTCGGAGTATTCATTGATGTTTGTCGTGCAGTAGTCAATGACGTGACAGCCAGGAGATCACGTAGCTCCGGGGTGCCGGTTCCGGTTCCGGACGGAGGACGTCGGGGTGCCCGTCACTAGTCCTGCGGGGGTGAGACTGTCACCGCTGAGGTCTCTAGGGTGTGGTTCGAGATGTTGTGTGGAAATGAGCTGCCTTCCACTGCGGCTGTGGGCGCGCATGTTGCCAAGTGTGGATGTGAACCGTACTGAACACCGCTGAACACCGCTGAACACCGCTGAATAAGGACCTCTTTCAATCCAATTGCCATCAGTCCAGGCCTCCTGTGGCAAAGCCAACACCACCCATGTCCTGCCGCCCCTTCCAACTTCGACACGTTCGTCCGGGTCCGAGGCACCTGATCAAGCACGTGACCTTGCCGCCCACGTGCCGTGGCACAGCGGAGGGCGGAGGGAGGCGGAGGCGGAGGTGGAGACCGGTGAGGAGACCGGTGAGAGGGGGGGGGGGTGAGGAGCTGCAGGCGAGGCACCTTGGTTTTTCCGAGTGGCCTCAACAAACAAAACACGTGCTCAAGGTAGTACCAGAGTGTGTTTATATAGACTTGAAGATGGGGGGAGGTTTATGGTGCTGGAACCTCTTTTGCTTGTTCTGACCAACAACCCACCTCTTGATGAACTTGCCACCATTGACGCCATTGACCATGACTTTGTGTTACATCACCTCGCTGGAGGCTCTGGGGTCTCTGGGGCTCCGGTTCTTTTCCAATGTTGCAAAAACCAATCTCCCTCTAAATCCATCCCCCCCCAGTGTCAGCACCGAAACGCCAGGTGTCACGTCTAGACGTGTCACGTCTAGACGTGTCACTACCTCAGCGCCCAAGCTCCCGCGTTCTTTTCCAGAGGCCAACAGAGGTTGAAGGACCCTCTAAGGGACCCGAACTAGCCTATCCCATAGGTACCCCCAGGTGACGGGTCCTATTTACGGTCACTTAACCGGTCTTGGGGGCACCAGATGGAACGTCCCGAAACCCACCTGGCTGGGCACTCGGTAGAGGACCGGTGTTCGACCGGTGGCGACCTGAGCGGTTTGGGAAGAAAAATGGGATCTCTTCAAACTAGCCGGATCTTGGATCATGGATGGATGGCCTTCTGAAGTTAGATGATAGCCTTCTGAGATTGGAATCCTTGGATGGATGGCATTCTGAGGTTAGAATCCCTTAAATTTGGGGATGTCTTTTACCATGGCGTGGACCGCTTGGCCCTGCCCAGCAAGCTGGTGTCCCTGGCGTGCCTGGGCTGGGTCATGGAGGGCGGGTGGATCACTGCAGAGCAAAGAGGGGAGCTTTTTGATGGAACACATCCGGGATGGAACTTGGGGCAAGCCAAACTAAAGCTTCCACCTAAGTCCCACCTCTAAGCGACTTTTTGATGGAACACATCCAGGATGGGCAAGTGGAACCTTAGTGACGAACTTGGAGCTCCGGGCTTTCGGCAGCCTTCGGAAAGTGCTTCTTGCATCCTTCCTGCCAAGCATGTCCGCCAGCCGCCAGTGGATGACTGGAAGTCCTTGAGGTTGCTCACTGAGTTGGTCATCCACTTTCCTCACGTCAATCCCAGAATTTCCCCAGCTTTTTGCCATGTCACTGAGCATGTGTTCCCAGCGTCCTCCGTTCACTAGCCTCTAGTAGCTGTCTAGGCCTCCACCTAAACTAGACAGCTTCTTGCTACGGTCTTTCCGTAGGCTTCTAGAGGTCCAAAAGGTCGAGTCCGAAGGGTGGTGGTTCTCTTCTCTCTCCGGGACAGGGCTCCGTGAGACTCCGGGGGGATCTCCGGGACCTCCGGGACCTGACTCACCTGAGGTTTGGCCGGGACTTCGACCAAGCCCTGGCAGCTGAGCAGCAGAGGGGAGAGGGGGAGAACGGGTGGAAGCTGAAGTAGAGAGAGAAAAACAGCACGGAACAGCTAACCAGGAATCCATTCTTTTCCAGAGGCGCCTGTTTGATTGACTTCTTGAAGTGTAGGGGTGCCCCTTCTCCGCAAGACAAGGAACTCCTGGTTCATGTGATGTTTTGATGTCCTTCAGGAGTTCTGACGAGCCCTCCGCGCCCTCCGCACTTGGCGCCACTCCCAGACGCGGGAGACGCGGCGCTCTCTCGCAGTCAGTCAGGACGGCATGGTGTTCCCCGAGAGTCTGCGACACCTGACCTTTGGTCGGGAGTTCAACCAAAGCCTGGAAGAGCCTCGGTGTTTGGTGCTACCGCGGGGCCGGGAGGCTTTGACCAAGGTGTGTTTCTTTTTTTGGCGGGCGCTTCTTTCGTCCGCGCGCGAAAGAAGAAATGACCGGGTCAGCTATGGGGACGTAGAACCCATTGAATTGGACCTTTGTTTTGATAAGGAAAGACGATGTTTTGGCGGGGTCAATCTAGGCCTAGGGAGGTCGAGTTGTTGACATTTTAACCCCAAGAGTGTCGAACCAGAGACTTCGACCGAAGTGAGTGCCTCAGAATCTCGACGAGCCAGGCTGGAAGCCGCACCCCGAAACTGGTTCGGCTCCGGAAACTGCTTGGGCAGAAGAGCCAGGGGGATGCGCCGACTGCTCCCCCAAAGCTCCGAAGGTTTTGTGAATCACACCCCCACACATCCACCCACACACACCTCTTTGTTTGCGGAGAAGACCGGCTAGACACACCAGTTTCGGAAGGAGAACAGGTATAGGCCTAGCTTCGAGGGAGAACTTCGGTTGTGGTTCGATGGTTTGCCCCGTGCGCTCTCTCGAGGAGGTGGATCTTCCAAAGATGCTCGAGAGCCACTGGGGCCTGGAGGTTCTCCGAGGGCCCGTATGATGAAAACATATGAAAACCAGAAAACCAATTGAACCCATGAGCAACATATAACCAGCGCCCCCGGGCAACTTTGGGGTGGTGAATGGACACCCCTTATATAACCTCTAAGGAGCTGTTTATAGAGACACCCCTGAAAGCCTTAGGGGGCCTAGGTATGCACAAACTAAGTTTGGAGTTTCAAGTGTATTGTTTTCTGGTCGAAGTGCCTTCATCCGCTTAACCTGAAATTCGTGCAAGCAAGCGTGATGTTGCGCTGGTTTGCCACCCCGAACTATGTCGCGCTGGTTTGAGTCTTGCCACGAGCCAGCAGGTCTTGAAGCTGTAGGGGGGCAAGTAACTTTGAATTGGAACCTGCAACACTCGGACCAACCCTTAGTCTATCACGCACTCCAAAAAATCATCCTGGAAGTGGACATTGGCCGCTTAACAGCTCGTGAACTCGGTGAAGATCACAGGAAAACGATGATCAGTTGAAGCCCTGTGTTACTTCCAATGAATGGGGCTCCACCAAGATAGGTGTTTCATCTTGCACTTGTTCACCGCGCGGATTAATCAACAGACAAACCACACATCCCCCAGACACGACTAATGGGACTGCCAGTTCGGACTGCCGCCCCATTGACCCCCCTGGCACCACCCCTGACCTGAGTGGCAGTCCTATGGCAGTCCCATTAGTCGTGTCTGGGTCCGACCTCGAGAGGCAGTCGCCTTGAGATTGGCTGGCACAAAGACCTTGTGATTCGTTTAGTTGCGGATCGTCTCCCCTTCTTGTGTGTTCTATCACTTCTATTTTGAAGGACATTTTCACCCAACCGGACTCCGGACTATGGACTTCCTTTTTCATGAAACAAGTCTTTATGTTCGTCGAACCATTGTTTCGGCAGCCTGTTTGTGTGGGCTGGCACCCCCGCAAAAGAGGCCGCAAAGAGATCGCAAAGACCCCCGTCCCGGCCAAGGCTTGGTATTTGGAGACAACTTCAATCAGAGCTTGGACAATGTGCCTTGGCGTGGCGTTGCGGTCCAGCGAGCACTGGTGGTGCTGGGCCCTCAAGGAGCAATCAACCACACGTTTTGTGGGCTTTCTTAGGAAAGAACCCTTGGCTTACCGAAGCACGGCTGAGGTGTCCCTTCCGAGCAGCTTGCAATACTTGACTCTCGGCCTGGTGGCGCCTGGTGAAGTGAGGGAGATGGTGGAGATCGTGGAGCCCCCGAACCCTTGAAGACAACGCCCCCAGGAATTGGAGATACTCCGCTCGCAGAGCACATGGAACCCCCCCAACTACTGGGCTGTAGAGGAAAATCATCTTCCAGTATGGTCCATTCTCAGGTTCTATGTTAGTTTGTGGGGGAGTAAGTTGTACCTCCAGAATGAAACCTATGTCCGGTGGGGCCAAAGTGGGGTGTTGCTTCGGATTACTTTTTTTTTCGAACTCGCGCAGGAACAGAGCACCAACACCTGAAAAAAGACACGAGAACCCCTCCCCCGGTGATTCAGGAGGATGGAGGTACAACACCTTCATCTCTTGGAAACCAACAAGCAACTTTGCCCCTGGGGTGTGCTGATGAGCACAACAAGGACATAGAAAGAACTGATATGATCTAAACTGAAACAATCACATGGCAAAATGACGCATTATGATATGCAGATCATTGCGATACACATCGACAGCCATCAGCCATCCGCTATGTTATCAACGACCCGTCAGAGATGGGATGACGGGGGGCGAGAGGCCGTAGCGCCGTTAGGCCTAGCTGTTAGGCCCAGCTGTGAGGCTAAGGAATCACGTGGAGTGTAATTCAACAGTCTGAATCCTTTGGTCGAAAGAAAAGGCTTCTGAGTCTGGTGGTGGCACGGCCCGAAAACTGGGCGGTGCGGGTGAATCTTGGACAAAGACCCTGACTGTCCCTGACCGACTGACATGTTTGTCTTGGTTCTTTCTGGCTATCCAGTTCACGGCCAAAACCCGGAGCCTTGGACTCTGAGCCACTGCTTTGTATGTCATATATATATATAATTATGTATATACATATATATATATATATGCATATACCTAGAATCTAGCCATTTTGGCTCAAGCCATTTTGGCTCAAGGCCGAGGACAGGAGGGGCATGTTGTGACCCGTCGAATGGACGACTTCGTGCTTTTCATCCTGATCCGCTGGCTTGCGGGCTTCCTGTGCGGCTGGCTAGGCCGTGCCTGGTGGGTGGGACGAGGCGTCACCGCCTTTGAGGTCTGTCCCAGTCCGGCGACCTTGAGGGCCTTTGCGGCCTTTGATGACAAGTTCGGTGCTCCCCACTCAAGCCGAGCTCGCCGGCATCACAAATCTTGAGGAAGCCAAGAGATGGGCCGGTGTTCGCGAGCCATCGTGGAATGCCTGGCAAACAGCAGTCGGGCAAGCTCCAAGCCTTCGCGTGTTTTGGCGAACATCGCCCCCAGTGCCTGCAGAGAAACCTTGTCTTTGGTGCGAATAGCCTCCACGTCTGGGGGCGACCCGAGAGAGCTTTCGGTGGTGGAGGCCATTCAGTTGGCGTTAGTTTGGAGGGTGGCACGACAAGCTTTTGGAATGGAGGACATAGACCCACTCGCAGATTTGGGCAGCCCTACATCACCTGGAGCATTATCAGGTGCAACCCCTTCCACAACACCTGCAAAGAAGGTCAAGGCTGCATTGGTCTTAGACCGATCGAGGCAAATTCTTCAGCATAGAGAACCCCAAGAATTCGCTTGCATGGATGATCAAAGTCATGGAGCAGCTGAGGAAATACATGCACACCGAACTGGTGTGCCTCGACCAGTGCCCCTACGGTGCGGAGACAGTCAAAACCCACGGGCATCATGGCAACAGCACCGTGGATGAAGCAGGTCTGCCTGACGTGCGAACAGGTACGACCACATCGTCATCGAGAAGGTGGATTGACGGGTTTTGTTTGGGGACACAATGGACGAACAATGGGTGTGGAGGACAGCCACGCTGCCGAATACCCTGCAGGACTTTGTTGGGCCTGGGCGGATGCCTTGCGGAGCTGGATCGTTTCGAGCGAAGGGCAGTTGTGGTTTAGCGTCCAGGACACTAGTACATGTTGGATCAAGTGGCAACAAGCTGGTTTCCCTCGACCGTGTCTGGCAGCAGGAAGGGGCAGAGAGAACAAGCAAGAGGCCTTCAGAACCTGGCAACACAGAGACGGCCTCGCAAAGAAGAGAACGGGAGAACGTGGAGGTGTTGGGTGGCTTGCGCGATCCACGACGAGCAGTGGCCAGGTCGAAGGACCTACAGCGTGTGGGACAGCAGGCACGAGAGGTGCTGGATGTGTTTCTCACAGATGAGGTACTCAGCTGCTTCGAGAATTCAGTTGATGAATGTCCTTTCCCCGAGAGCCTGATTGGGGAAGCCCGCTACAGTTTGGCCCAGCACTTTAAGGCTGAGACAGTGCACGAGGGCTACCAGCTGAGGGCAATGCTTGAGCAGGCGAAAGACCCTGATGCGACGGTACTGTTAGAATGGCTAGTTGACGGCTTCCCCATTGGAATCAACAGAGAGATCACCTACACAGGAGTGTTCCCTCGCACTGATGGGCTTACAGCTGCAGCGAAGGCATCACAAGCCTTTGCGATGATGGATGACTGGGATGGCACAGCTCAGAACTGTTGCGTCCTTTGCCGAAGCTGGAGACAAGGCTCAGGCAGAGTTAGATCGCATGGTGGACATGGGTTGGGCACTTCGGAAAGACACATGGCACGATGTGGAGGCAGCAGTAGGCAAAGCCTCGCTGACCAAGATGGCTTGCGTCGTCAAAATGAAGCAGGGAAAGGTCGAGAAGGTTAGGATCATAGTCGACATGACAGAAGATCAGGTGTCAACGGTCAGATGCATGTGTTCGAACGCGTCGTACTCCCCAGGGTGTCGGACGTGGCTTCGTGTTTAGGAGAGCTTTTGAAACATGCCGGAGCCGACGACGCCGACGAATTTTATATCATTGACTTTTCTGATGCATTTTATACCCTGAAGTTGCACCCTTCTGAACAGTCGCACACCGTGGTGAAAGGGAATGATGGCAGATACTACATCCTCCTTTCGGTCTGTTTCGGATTGTGCTGTGGACCGCTGGTCTGGGGGAGGTTGGCCGCAGCCTTTCTCCGGTTGGGCCAATCCACCATGGTCTCTCGAGAGGAAGATCCCAGTGTTACGTTGACGATCCCCTCCTTATGGCTCTTGGGCCATCTTTTCGACCCCGCACCATTGTGTTTGCGCTTTTGTGGTTTTTTTTGGGGGCCTCTCTTGCTTGGCGAAAGGCCCAGCCAGCTAGGCACCCAGGTCGAATGGATCGGGGTGGCACTCCAGTTAGAAGGGGGCCTTTTAAACGCCCTAAAAGCCCTAAAGGTGACTTTAACCCCCGACAAGACCGAGAAACTTTTCGAGTTGTTTGCCGAAGTTTTGCATGCCGGACGACAGACGAACCCTTAGGTGCTGCGGCTCTGACGACGACGCCAAATTCCATGGCTTGCTCTGTCCTTTTGAGGTCGCCGTTGAACTTGTCGAGAGGCAAAAGGCACGCACGAAGGTGGATTCGGATAGATCTTCTTCGGCGGCATTCTCCACTCCATTGGTCGGAAGGCGAGACACTCCGTTTGCTTTCACTACGAAGGTGGATGTGGTGGCGGCGGCACAACAGGACGCCGAAAGATTGGTGCAGTTGGTAGAGGAGGCTGCTGCAGTGGACCCTTCGAAGCTCACTGGGCACTTCATGAGAAGGTCGGGAGTCAAGCGACTGGCACGGGCAAACACCCCAAAGGACGTCATTATGAAAATGGCCCGACATAGCAGCAATGCCATCGAGGCGTACATTGAAGACGCCATGGAAGAGTCACCAGACATGGCAACCATCCTCACCGATCATAGACAAGTGCAAGCTGCCCTCAACTCGTTTCGAAAGGACCTGGCAGGACGACCTCAAGACTCAGGTGAAGGAGAAGACTGACAGCAACATTGCTGACTTGAACGAAGAGGTGAAGAGGATGTGGGGAAACATCCGCCCTGACTACATCCGCAACAACACCTCGAACAAGGTTCACTCCACACAAGCATGCCTGTTTTGGGAGATGCCATCGAAATGGGCAACCAAGTGCGGCTGGAAGTGGATCTCTTCCTCCAGAAACGTCGAATACGTAGGTCAGAGCGAACTGAACAAGTTCACCCTCTGTGACAAGTGCTTTGGCTGAATGGCGGCAGAAGCCCAGTAAGCCGTGTGATTTACTATAGTACAGTAAGGCGTGCAGGTGGAAGAAAGGAAAAGTGGCATCGATTGCATGATTGAGTTAAACCAGCAGTGCATAGGAGCAGCTAGGACACGCCAGTGTGTGGAGTCCCGGCCCCTGCACGTGCCTGGTAGCCCGGGAGTGGGCAATGGGAATCTACGCAAACAGGCGCGTGCGAGGTGTGAGGGACGTGCGTAGTCGGCGTAGTCCTTGAGCTCAGTTGAAACCAATCATGCCCTTCTTCCACCACTCTGAGAGAAACATAGCTGTGCGCTTCCTTTTGTTAGGGTTGGAAGGGTGGGGGTTTGCTTGTGCAATCATGTTATTGCGAAATAAATCTCATTTATGTGTAATACCTGGTGCATAAGCTTGGAGGTGAGGTTGTGAGGTGAGGTTTGAGTGTCATTGGCCCCTCCTGTCCATTTTGGCTCAAGGCCAAGGACAGGGGGGTGATTTCGAAAACCCACCCCCCCACACCTTTTCTCCGTTGTACTCCCAATTGACCCTTCTCACTAGTTATACAGTCTCGCCGGACAGGCATCGATTGCATGATTGAGTCAAACCAGCAGTGCATAGGAGCACCTAGGACGCCAGTGTGTGGAGTCCCGGCCCCTGCACGTGCCTGGTAGGCCCGGGAGTGGGCAATGGGAAATCTACGCAAACAGGCGCGTGCGAGGTGTGAGGGACGTGCGTAGTCCTTGAGCTCAGTTGAAACCAATCATGCCCTTCTTCCACCACTCTGAGAGAAACAAAGCTGTGCGCTTCCTTTTGTTAGGGTTGGAAGGGTGGGGGTTTGCTTGTGCAATCATGTTATTTATGTATATATATATATATATGCATATACCTAGAATCTAGCACCCATTGGACAAGTTGTGTTGATAGGAAAATACCATGAGTTGGCATCAAAACAGGGTCAATCAGGTTCATCCAATGGAACCAATGCACTGAAGAAGTGGCTCAGTTGTTCCGCTTCTCCCTTTCTCCCGCATCCGCCGTGTGTTCTGAGGACCTTCGGGCTGGAGTTTGACCAGCCACTACAGGAGTCCAAGCTGCCAGGTGGGGGAGGGAGTCCTGACGAAAAGGTGTTCTTCCAGGTGAAGGAGCGGTTAGTTCTTGGAGGAACATGGAAGTGGTTTAAGCTACGTGGAACGGGTGAGGTTACTGAATGGGGTGAAACAATTCTTGGTCAACTTGAACCTCTCAAAGGTGGGTGAGGTTGCCGAAGAGTCTCTTTTTGAAAACGATCTGGGTGTGGAAAAGCACCAACGCCGGCAGAACTCGTCCATCCAAAAGGCGGTTCCTGTAGTGGAACGTGGTCTCCCAAGTCAGGAACCGCTGTTCTTTGCTGGCGATGTCCTGGATGCCGATCCTTGATTTCCTACAGTCACCAACCGCTTTTGGGGATCAGCGAGAAACAAGAAGCACTGCACCCGGGTCTTCACCCAAACGAACGCCACGGGTCGAGTCGGGTCAGAGATCCACAGAGCGACCAAGAGATCCACAGAGCGACCAAGAGATCCACAGAGCGACCTGGGATGGTTTCATCATCCACTGATAGTAATTGATGGGCACAGCTTGGGCATCTAAAAATTCGGAAAAGTGATCGTTTTTGGGGACTCCGGTGAAAATTCGGTGGTGACCGGTGCGACCTTCGGTGTGACCTGCGTCCGATTCCTCGTGTCTGCGCGGCGTCGGACGTCTGCGGCGGCGGCCAGGGAGTCTCGTATCTCTGATCTTTGGGAACAACTTTAACCAGACTTTGAATGCGTGCCTGGGCTCGTGGACCGTGGACCTGTGGGGAGGCGCTTCTCTCGTGGGTGGCCGCGGACAGAGGGGGAGGTGGGAGGTGGTGGTTCTTCCTCTCGCCGCGCGACAGAAAGACAGAAACACACGGGCATGGTCCACAAGTGGCCATCCAAGCGAAGAGAGGTTGAGAGACCTTAGCTAGGACCCTGGTCTGTGGTACACATGGCATGTGCGAACAAGGGCAACCTCTCTGGAGACATCGGATTCTGGAGACTTCAGTACTTGGACCCATCCTGTCACCATCCTGTTTGGACATCTTATGGTAGTCCATTGTACATGCATTGTTCCTGGTAGGGAATGTAATTCACCGAGGACCTTCCAAGGCCCTCCCAGCATCCGAGCATCGACCGTTTTGGCCTCCCCGAAGACCCCCTGCACCGGTCTGCGGGACACCTCCTCCCGCCGGTCCGCCGGTTTCGGACCGGTTTGGGACGAGAACGTGGGGACCGCTGAGGGCGAGGCTCCCGGAAGGGCTGAGGAGGCTGAAGTTCGGGTATCACTTCAACCAGAAGATCATGCCCAGATCTGGTGGCTGCATGAGCTTCGGCGCCTGGGCTAAGCCATGTGGGGCGCGAAAACGCGCATGGCTGGGGGGGGTGCCAAAGGCAGTGGACATGTTTTTTTTTGGGGGGGGAGGCGTGGCTGGTGCTACTTTGCTGTTGCCTTCCCCCATGAAACAAGCAAGGGGAGCAGGTCACTCGGATCGAGCACCGGGAGTTCCCCCAAGCCTGGGCTGCTCAGAACTGCGGGCAGATCGCTGCAGATCGGATAGGGCTGCTAGGTCTGGAGCAGCTTGGAACCGACAGTTGATCACCCAAGGCTCCGGGGCTATTGCTCAAGGCTCCAGGAATAAATACCCGAATAAATACCAAACCTCCTGGTCAACGACTTCTTGGTGTTTGAGTGAAAACCTGGCCATGGCCGGCACGGTGCCCAGGCGGGGTGACCTCTCCTTTTTTGGGTGGATTTCGCTCACAGCGCCGGGCGCTCGTGCGCGCGCGCGCGCTCGTCGCGCCAGGGAAGGCGGTGCCTTTCCTGAGCAACCTGGAAGAATTGACGTGGCTCGGAGGAAACGGCCGGCCGGACACGAAGGGGGGGCACCGTTTCTGGCACCGATTCGGTGGGCTCTGTTTTTCCCCGAGGCTCTCCGCAAGGATGGATGGGGGTTGTTGTAATGCATGTCTGGGGGAGGGTTGATGGGTTCATGTATGAACCGCCTAACACGAAATCGGTCAAACCACACCGATGGACATGATCCACGGATGTCTGTCTGCACAGCGGCGAACTCCTGAACTCCGTTCAAGGGGGTTTCAGGTGGCCGTTCCAGGGTCCCATCCAGAGAGGTGGTGACCAGGACTTAGGACCTGTCACCTGGGATACCCAACTGGGATATATAGTTGAACTACCCAGACGCTCGAAACAGGCCTTGGTCCCTCAAAGCCGCAGGGTTTTGAGGGTCCGGACCCCTCCATATGAGGGTACGGCCCCCTACTTAGGAGGGTCCAGGGGTCGCGTCTGGGTAGATGTCAAATAGGCTTCTTCCACCTGGGTCGTGCCATTGCAGTCCTCGAAGAAAGAGTCTCTTCGGCCGCGGGAGACGCTGGCTCTGTGGTACGGCGCACCGCGAGTCCGGTGCGGCGGGGACCGCGGCGAAACGACGTCGTGCGACGGGCGTTTCTGCGGTGCGGCTGGGAGATGCTGATGGTCCAGGAGGTGACGATGTGTGAAGACATTGGTTCTTGGAATCAGAAATAGGTGATCCTTTCATGAACCAAGACCAGGAGCAAATAAAGCACCAAAGAACCATTGGAGTCTCTGATGATTCTTCCTCTTGGGTTTCAATATAGGTTCCCTAATTTCATGGCGCATCTAGTATGCGCGGGAAACCATCGCGCGGGCCATCAACGGTTCCGGTGGGATGGTCTGTTTTGGGACAACATCCACTCCACTCCTCTCCACTGAGCCGAACGAGCCCAGGTTTGGACGGTCCTACACAGAGGATTTGAGCCGCTTGACGGGATCGGCTTCGGCGGCTGAGGGGAGGCGACCTTAGCGCCGGATGAAAAGGGAAGAGTCAGACTGAACCGACCGGCGTGGGGTTGCGGAGACACCACCCATGGATGAAAAAACCTGAGAAGCTCCCCACTTTGGGCCCCGAAAGCTCACACTGGAGCTTGATGTGAATCACCCAGGGACATTTGAGCAGCAGAAACCTCTGAAGCCAACACCTCCCTGTCCTGTGGGAGGGCTGCCCCTTCAACCACCCAGGATCAAAAAGTACCAGATACCTTGCTTTTCAAATCTTTTCAATGTTTTTCACAGATCCTTTTGAATATGGACATGACACTAGGGAAGGAAGCTCACCAAGACCTACAGGTTTACATCCTCACACAAAGTCCATGCCTCTTTGGGCCAAAAGATCCAAAACAACTCACGAACCGATCGTCCTTGACTTCACTCGGCCCAGGTCGAATGACCTTTGCTAGCACCTTGCGAAGCCTGAAGTTTGGAGATGGCTTCAATCAGAATCTGCTGAAGCTGCAGCTTCCAAGCTCTCTCGAGTCTCTTTCCCTTGGGGATGCCTGGCTTTTCAAAGCTGCATGCTGGATTTCGGGTGATGCCTCCGGCTGCGGGGCAGGGAGGGTGGGCTGGAGAGAACTGGGGACGTCAGAGTGTCCGAACTCGTTGCGGAGGGCTTTTTACATGGATTATATAGGCATGCAAACCTGCCGATTCAGGTGATGCTTCTTTGATCTTTGTTTTTGCCGGTTTTATCAATCTATGTAGCTATGTCTCAGCTCATTTCTTTTGTGCTTGCAATGTCATACTGCTTTTGGTGTTTGCCCGCTAGCTGCTCGGACCAGTCACTATTTCTTCTCTGAGGAAGGCTACAAGCAGGAGTGGAGCAAGGCCAGAGCTCTTTGAAGATGACTCCGCTGATTGTAACCAGCCCTTCGAAAGCCCAATCAAGGTTGCTGGATCCTTCCTGTGATAAGCAGGCTGTAGACAACTGAACCTGCTTACGCACGACCTAATTTGCGCAGCCCAAGGGTGATGCTGCTGCAAGGCTGTCCCCTACAATGCTCACAGAGCCTTGATATGGAAGACATGGAAGTGGGGTCGACTCGCGCCGCACGTGGCCGACTCACCAACGAAAACGACACAAAGAAAGTGACCCAGTAAACTGGCCAGGGGGTGCCAGAGCCCTGGACGTTCATGAACACCCTGGACATTCAAAGAATGAGACTGCCGGGCACGGTTCCCTTCTCTCTGCCGCATGGTTCCGATGACATCCAAAACAAATTGGGTCTCTTCCACTTCCATGTTTCCCTGAACAAAGAGAAGGTTATTTTACAACTGATGCAAACAAATCCAAGGGTGCAGCCTGTTCAGCTTCCGGTTTTTGGCTGACCATTCGGCGCCCCACCCAAAAAACAGTTCTCTCCTTTTTTGGACGTCCTTTCTTTTTTATGGTTTCTGGCTCGCCGCTTTGGCGGGTCGCTCTTGCCAGGCCGCTTGGCCGTCGGGCTTGCGGAACTTGACGGTGGAACAGAACTTTGTGACCAAGGGCGGCGTGAAGGTCACCTTTCCCGAAGGCCGCGTGGACCTCCATCGCGCGCGTTTGGTCCCAGCACGGGAGGTTGTGGGTCCCAATTGGGAGGTGGAATGGTTTCTCTTTGGATAGCATTACTGTATTATTTTTGGGAAGGTGATGATTATTAAAGGTAACGGGTGATTTCCCTGATTGATTTGAATTAAAAAACCAATTGCCACCGGGTGAAAAAATACCGCGAGTTTCTCAATCTACTCCCAATGTACTCCCAATGCATTGTTTCAGAACAACCATTGGCTTTTGGAGGATTTTCTCCTTTTCGCGTCAGGCTTGGAGAGCCTGTCCTTCGGTGGAGCCTTTAATCAGAGCTTCGAGAACGCGGCCCGGCAGAGCGTTGCAGCCACGTGAACTCGTGGCGTTTTCTGTCACGTGCAACCAAACGTCCGTGATCCGTCATCCGTTTGACGCGCGCGGAAGGATTTTGGGGGGTCAAATGGCGGGGCACATTGGCCTTTTTGGGTATGAGGATGGCCACATAGGTATGGGGGGATGGGCATGGGTATGACATGGCTTGCCTTTGGAGGCCGTTTGAAGGCTCTTTCTCGGTGAAGGGGTCCGAGGGCGAATCAAAACAGCTGAGGTGAAGCTACCGGAGAAGCTCATCAGCCTGAGCTTCGGCACCTTGGATTCACGGTGTGGACGGACGACGCGACGCGTCGCTGGGCGTCGCTGGGGGTCGCTGGGTAGCTTCGGGGCTATGCCAGACTGACACGGACGCGTCCGTGGGGTGCGGCCTGGTCACTGCAACACCCTGGACATAGAGGAAGATTGGACAACGGACTTACAGGGACTTACAGATCAATGTCATGAAGGGGCTTATGGAGGATGCTCCTGCTGGTTGCAAGTGGTTTCAAGACGTGACGTGCCTCCATCTCTGCAGATACAGGGCAGGGTCCCCCCTGCCCCCCCTGTTCAATGCACAGCGACCGCGCGGCTTTAGCACGGTTCGCGCTGTTTGTGAGTGACCAGCTGCTCGGGGCGAGGCCGTGATTTCAACAAACCGCTGCAGAGTTTGAGCGCCCTCCCGAGCCTCCAACGCTTGGTCTTCGGCCGCGACTTCAACCAGATGCTCGGTGGATGTTCCGGGTGGTGGGAAGGGGGTCAGAGTCGGCCGGAGCAACCGGGAAGGGCAGGCGAATGAGTCGGAGAGAATGTGGAACCTTGGATGGGTTGGAACCTTTCCACTTCTTCGGGTGCAAGGTGAAGGCTCCCCAGTGTCCGGTGGGTGCGCAGAATTTTCCGTGAGACGAACGCCCAAAGGCCCGGGGAAGAGGTCCCCACGTTTATCGGTGAGACGAAGCGAACCGAGCCAAGCGGCCGATGGATGGGGTGGTTTTTGGATGCCCAACGGGTGGAAGTCTCCCGGGCCGGATGGGTTCACTGGGTCCAATGGACTCTGCCTCCAAGGGTTCGCTTGATCCAAATCCTTTCGGGTCTGGTTGGTTTTAGTTTCCTGGGGCCTTCAGATCTGGCAAAAACCGCAGACGGATGATCTGGCCGTCCGGCCCGATACAATGCACGTCCAAAGGAAGTCAAGACATCATTGGCCTGGTTCAGCTAACAGATCTGGCTTTGATCAATGAGAACTGGCACCCCTCGCCGGATCTTTTTTACCTTCATTTTGACTGCTCCATCGAGCAGGGCAAATCGAACGTGCAAGAATCGCCGTGTACCCCAGTGCACCTGTACCAGAACTATACTGATTGATCAACTGATTTTGGGACTTGGAACGCGCTCGTTGGCTGGCATTGGTAGGCCATACACGTGGACTTACTTACTGAACCGTACTGAGAAACCTTCCCTTCGCAAGCCATTTTCCATATATATCCCCCACGAGTCCCAAAAAGCCAACAAAAAAACAACATAATTACAGTATCCTCCTTCCAGCCCTCCCCAACGCGGAAAAAGACAAAAATCCAGGAAGCTGGACGTGAGCTTACCTCCGACCCTGAAGACCTTGAAGTTTGGCCTGAAGTTCAACCAATCCCTCGAGGGCATCGTCTTGCCCCAGACCTTGGAGAAACTCGGACTGAAAGGTGCCAATGGAGATGCTGAAGAAAGCAAGAAGAAGGGAATTAACAAGACGGAAACACCCAAGAAAAGGATCAAAGCAAACCATGAAGGAGCTTGAAGGAGTTTGACTTGCTATACTATAGCTGCTAGCTTGTAGTGTTCTCAAGTGGTCGGCCCCTCAATTGAAGGATTTTCAAGGGATATCCCGTGTGCAAGTCTGACTGGAGTGGTGAACAAATCATCTCCCGCAAGCAAAACGCAGGTTTTTCCGGAGCTCGCCGTGCTTTAGGTGCCGGAAGAAGCTTAGGGAGGAAACGGTTTTGGCTCAGCATCTCGGCTCAGACCGCGCAATTGGCAGAGCATCGATGCTTGGTCGCTGGAGTGGCATCCAAAGGCTTGTGAGGCCGCAACATGCGTTGAAGGCTCACAAGTGGCCCAGGAGGCTTGGCATGCTGCATCAACTGCTTCCATTTGAAGGCAAAGGCCAGGGATTTGCTACTGCCAGTGGCGAGGCATCAGTTTCAATTCACTGCCTCGCCGTGTACATACACGAGCAGATCAATGGAACCTTTGCAGATATCTTCCAGCAGCTCTCCGAGCGGATCGATTTGCTGGAACTCCCCAACAACGGATCCAGTACCATGGTGTCATTGGAGGATGCGCATCTCATCGTTGAGGACATTGGTGTGCATAAAGAGGATTTGATGGATTTCTTGGCGGACTACCAACAGTGGGATAGGTCCATCGGCTTTCCAGAGATTGCAGATGACCATACAGATTCGAAGCCAGTTGTTCGGCATCCCCGTCACGCTTTGTATGGTTTGAGGGTCAAGTCGCAGAATGATATGCCAACGCCAGAGTTTTCAGCAGAGCCACTCTCCACGAAAGAGCTTTTGGCCAAGTCTAAGCGAGCGGCAGAAGGTATTTACTTCAAAAAGGCTCATGCAGGTGGATATATGGTGTACTCTCGCAAAGGCAGATTCCCATTGACAGGAGAGTACATTAAGCAGTACCCGATCGACACCGAATTCAATGCGTGGTACAATACGCATAAGAGTGAAGGGTGGGTGGCTTGCACAGGGGCATGCAAAGCTCAAAAGGCCGTTTGTTGGTACAATGTTGCAAATGAAGAGGCTCCAGTCATCTCCAAGAACTTGGCAGACAAGGGCTGCATTGGCTACTGCCAGCGAGCCAGACGCAGCAATTGAAGGGATGAGAAGAAGTCATCTCCCTTCCTCTACATTCACATAAAGGCTTTATCAGCGAACCTCTACAGCCAAGTTGCTCAGTTTCGAACCGCTTCTTTCCCAAGGCCGCAAAAGAAGATGCCAAATCGGAGTAGGCGCCAAGCGTGCGTTTGTCGTTTGTAAGAATATCCATTAACTGCAGGAACTACAGGGTTGTTGCAGCCGGTTGACACATGTCCAGAAGTCTGGTTGGGAAGAGTCACAGATCGTTCGTTTGTTTCTTTCTGTTTTGTGCGCTGAGTAACGTCGGACAACAGTAGCAAGTATAGTGGTTTATCTTGAAGGTTTCCAGCCACAAGGGGATTGTTCTCAAATGCCTCTGTGATTGCAAGAACCCATTCTGCGAAGAATCTTGGGCGATCCCAGGCAAAGCACCGGACGGTCATAAAGAGAGATCGAGACCACACCACCACACCTCCAAACATCCAGATTTCCAGAGCTGGATTCCGCTCGCCCAGAAAACGATCCTTCGGCACCCTCCGCGAAAGGCCTTCCGAAGGATCGTTTTGCGTGTTCATCGCGTTTCTGCGCGTGGCGAACTTCGTTCGGGCCTTGTTGGCCGGCGGCCGAGTCTGAGGACCTTGAGTTTTGGTGCCTACTTCAATCAGCCCTTTGACCTGGAGCTCCCTCCCAACTTGAAGACCTTGGTCTTTGGCGAGCACTTCGATCAGCTGTCACATGGAGCATGAATTCGGGCCCAAGACAGAAGCCCCTGCGTGGCAAAGAGGTATGAAGACTGATAGAAAGCGGGGAAGGTGAGCTTTACTTCAAGAAAACGGTTTCAGAAGATTCTTCAGCCACTTGCTGGACCACAACTTGACCCTTCCTTCTTCAGGTCTATATTGGGATATATAGGTCTTCTACGTGTCTGACACGCCAAAACATAATATTCAATAGACCTAATACCACCACTTGCTAGAGATGTGGGCATCTCAGAAGAGCTTTTGAGACGGGTGATCGGGGACGCACTAGTCATTGGACCAGGAACCCATCCTCCCGAATGAAGACCGTACTTCGGCAACCTGAGCCATGACGAACGAATGACTCGAAGAGTCCCTGTTTTGCGAGCTGAGTCACATCAGACGAACGTCCTGCTGTCGAGTCATTTGGTTCGGATCACTTACCATCGCCCTTCGTATGATTTGCGGAGCACGAGCTTTTCCCCCTTTGATCGTGCCTTCAGAAAAGACCAGGAGGGTCAGTTTGTTCTGTAGTTATTCGCTCCATGGTTTAGCCACGGGTGATTCGAGTCATAGGTCATAGAGGGTCCAAAACATGCCCCCTCCAAGTGACAGCAAACCGTCGAACATGTTTGAGCTAATGGGCTTAAAACCGCGCGTGTAGTGAAACTGATTTTTCATACAGTCCTTTCGGGGGGCAAGAACACTTTGACATTGGTTTGCAGTTAACTCAATTCCCACGTTGAGAAGGAAGGTGAAGGAACGGCATGGTGAAAGGTCCAAAGACTTGAAGGTGTTTTAACATTGAAGTGTTTCTCATCTGCAGTGGTGCGACAGCAGCACGCGCGCGAGCGGCAAAGGAAAGGGTTTAGGGGAAGTAGCATGAACCACCATGGAAACAAAAAGGAAAGATTGGACAGCTTAAGCAACAGTTCATGGAACAGGTACACAGTGGGGCGTCCCCCACTGCATCAGCACCTACTGGCATCCTCTTCGTTGGACGGGAAATGCCAGTGGTGTCCCGTCCCCCTGCTTATGAGATGGAAAACCGAGAAGCACCCTTCGGAACAGGGGTTGACACACACACGGTGCCGCTTGGCGGCGCTCGCGTGGAAAGCCTGAAGAGATACCTAAAAAGCCTTAGAAACAAAAGGAAGAAACACAGAAAGAGCAGCGCTAAGAGGGCAAGAGAGAACGATAGGTGTAGAAAAAAGAAAATGAATACTTAGCCCTTGACTGGGGTAGGGAAACGAGCCTCAAGAGCAACCTAAAAAGCCTGAGAGAAAGCCCAACAAACGACGGAAAGCGCAAGAAAGAAAAGGGGGGCAGGGAGGGGGTGTATGTCCATGTGTGTGTACGTGTGTGTGTCTGAATACTTAGCACTCTAGGATTACTGACTACTTAGCCGAGACGAATTACAGTGCAATAGTTAGGGAGCGGGACTTTAGTCTTAAACCGCCCGGGTAGAGTAGACTAGAAAAGGGACAACAGAGGGAAAGGCACCGACACACAAGTGTGTCGAGTACCATTTCCCTGTGTTACCCTAATTAGGTAGGGAGTAGAACACGGTGGGGGGGGGTAGGGAGACCTGCCTGAAGTGGGGTGAATTCCGTTTTTAAGCCCGGCGGCTGTCAAATCCGTTTTTAAGCCCGGCGGCTGTTTTAGGTTACAGAAGAGTCTGAAAGGGTTCCATCGTTTATAGCCCGGCGGCTCGAAAGGCAGTAGATCCAGTGCTTGTAAAAGAATCCGTTAAGATAATCCAACGAAAGGTGGAACCGAAAAGCTGTTAAACGATTTCCGGAATGATGACAGCGCCTCCTTGCGGAGGATCACACCCAGCACCCAAGTGGGACGGCTGAGCGGCTCACACTTTGACATTGGTTTGCAGTTAACTCAATTCCCACGTTGAGAAGGAAGGTGAAGGAACGGCATGGTGAAAGGTCCAAAGACTTGAAGGTGTTTTAACACTGAAGTGTTTCTCATCTGCAGTGGTGCGACAGCAGCGCGCGCGAGCGGCAAAGGAAAGGGTTTAGGGGAAGTAGCATGAACCACCATGGAAACAAAAAGGAAAGATTGGACAGCTTAAGCAACAGTTCATGGAACAGGTACACAGTGGGGCGTCCCCCACTGCATCAGCACCTACTGGCATCCTCTTCGTTGGACGGGAAATGCCAGTGGTGTCCCCTGCTTATGAGATGTAAAACCGAGAAGCACCCTTCGGAACAGGGGTTGACACACACACACAAACACACGCATTGGAATATGGAAGATGGGGACACGGGGGGGTTAGGGGGGAGGGGGGGTTGGGTGGGGGGCTAGTGATGTTCATGTTGTGTGCATTGTTATTAGGAAGCCACACACGCACACGCAGGCTGGAATTCTTGTTAATTCTTGTTCTAGTTACAAAGGGGCCCAAAGGGAAATGAGTGGTGATCATCTTCTCGCAGGTGCGTGCCATCTGCGTCCAGATTCCATATCACAGCAAGCTTGAAGTGTCTTCGTTGAGCGGTGACTTCAAGAATGCCCACCGCTCCCCTGCTATCAACAGTAGTAAGAAAGTCAGGCATTACATTCCAAAAGGATCCCTGTGACTTCAAGGGGCACACACACAGACAGACGTCGACGCATGGAAACTTGGCTTGGTTATTCCGAAGTTTTTTCCGTTCGGGGGATTGTCAGATGCTTGAGTTCAGGAGAGCTGCTCATCCACACCGGTGCCATTGATGGTATGTGGCGTTTGTATAAGGGGTCGGTCCCCACTAGCTTGCGTTCACGTGAAGGTGACGGTATATGCCCAAACATCATGAAGTTCACTCGACAGTGGCAATGGCGCTGGCACCAGAATAAAGACGATCTTCTGACGAAGCTGGGTCAGAAGTTGTCCCACAGACTGTGATGATGATGCTGGAGGATGAATTTGCGCGCCTTTTTTTGGCACGAAACCACAGTCTCGTAGCATTTCGATGTCAAAATCGCAACGATATTTGAGTCGCTTTCATGTACTACATGCTGCAACAAACCTTTCACATCAATGCAAAACGCAGTCACACACCGGACATTCGTCATCATTGACCACGTGAAGATTTGACAAATGTCCTCAACCGCACGCGCAGAAACGAGCCCGGCGGGATGTTTGAGTCCCTCCTTTTGAGGACAACTTGTTCCTGGGCCCCGAAAAGTTTGACAAAAGATGAAACACCTTTAGGGCTACTTTCACTGTTTCGGTGAATTGGTTGCTTTTGGCTTGTTGGAGTCCCCATCAGCCAGACTTGGGATGTGACAACCAGACCAGAAGCCCCAGCTCCTTTGAAATTCAAGAAAACCCTCACCTGTAGATTGGCCAATCTCAGAACCAAACCCCTGCACCACCTGGTCGTCGGCCTCGTACCTTGGAGGTCCTTACCTTCCCGGTCTGTACGGGTGCTGACCTTCGGGACGCTGCGTCGGGTGGATCAGGATGGACGGGGTCAAACTACCCGACAGCATCGAGTTCCTGACCTTCGGCGAGACGCTTGGGAGCAGCATCGCGGGTGCCAGCGGTATGTTGAGGCTCCGAAGTGAGCGTGGGAAAGCGGGGTGTTGAAGGTTTCTTGGGTTGTGAGTTCATGACAGGCTGGGAGACCCTCCAAGAAGAAAGAAGGGGTGCCTTTTCAAAACAGTTGGTCGGCTTCAGGGGATTGGGGTGCTTGAATAGAGTGAGTATAAGGTTCTCGCTGAGATTTGCCTTGTGCAAATCACTTAGGATGGTGGGGCAACATGGGGCCTATGAGTGATCCTTCTCCCTTTGTTCAGATTCCATAAGCTGAGGAACTTCAACCAAGTGTTGGACAATCTGACCTTGCCCAAGAATCTGCAGGAGTTGAATCTTGGCGGCACCGCATTTTTCCAGCGCAGCCCACTGGGCTTGGTTTGGGGGGAAGAGGCCCAGTGACTTGGTGGCCCACCAGAAAACGTGGCCGGCTCCTGCTGCCACCGGCAGCCCCGGGCCAAACGCGACGACCCGCGCGGTACGGGGGGTCGGTGCGGAGCGCGCAACGGCACCGGTGACGCTGAGGACCTTTGGCGTTTACTTCCAGCAGAGCTTGGACAAAGTGAACCTCCCGGTGTCCCGGCCGAAATCGTGTCCCAAGGGACTTGACGAAAAGGGCAGGTTGGAGTTATGAAGATAGGTGACCAACAAAATATGTTCACTAGATATCGGGGAATGAGGCTTTGTTTGTTTGTTTGTCGGCTGGGATCAAACGAGATTCTCCCAGCTTTGCTCTCAATCATCCAGACACAAGTTCAACAACCTGGAGGAATTTTGTCCCTCATGGGTATCGAACTCGATGTGGGCGGGGGCGGCCTTTGCCAAGAGTGATGACAGAGGGTTTGGTTTTGCTTCCAACAGATCATGTCTGGGAGAGAGAGAGAGAGAACAAACAAACAAATTATTTATAATATATATGTGTAAATATATTAACATATGTATAACCACATATTCCCCGGCAGACTAACATGGACCTGGAGAATGGACGTGTGGAAGACCACTTTCCTCTACAACCCAGGTTTTTTTGGGTTCCATGTCAATCTGCAGGGGAGTAAGTAATAGGAATCCAGGAAGCTACGAAGCTGCGCATGAGATCCACTACTTACACTACTTTCTTTCCAGACATCACTCACTCACAGCGGAGGAACTTGCTGAGAAATTCCCTTCAGAGAATCCCTGCACCTGAGGAGTCTCACATACCAGAGATGATCCAAACCAACGGAGCCCCGTAAGGTCTGTGTAAACATCTCGCCTCGGCCAGCAAACTGAAGCCTAAAGGTCATCGAGTCTGAAGCCTAAAGGCCCCCCTAAGACACAGAAGAAGTAGAACGAAGGTCACTAGGTAGATGAGCTTCAGGTGATATCGGACCTTTTGTCCTCCTTTGTTCTTCCAACAAAAATCCATGAGGCCCACCCAACCGCCCCTCCCCAAGCACCCTGGCCCCAATGGCTCCGCTGCGCCGCACAACCGTTTTGCCTTTCATTGGCTTTTGGCCGTGCGACCAGAATTATCCAAATGAGCACCTATCAGAACCTGTCCTTATGTGGCTAAATGGAATCTGGACATCAATTTTGAACATGCTAGTCTTGGTAGTAAGGATCACCAAATGGCTCTCTGGGGCCTGACCAGCCTGTCCTTCTGTGACTTGTGATCCAACCTCCCGGGCTACATGCTCCAAATGGCTCCCTCCGATCCGAACCCCGCCCAAAAGACGAAGACCAACAGACCTCCCGCGCGCGCGCCTCCACACCGGCGCGCCGCCCGCTTTGTCGGCGTGCCGCCCGGCGGCTCCCGTTCCGAGGCCTCGTTGCGGAAGCTGTGCTTCGGCCACGGCTTCAACCGATCCTTGGAGCACACGGCGTTGCCCTCGGGCCTCGAGGAGATGTGCCTCGGAACCGGGGACGAGGAGACGGCGAGACGCCCGGTGTGGGGAGGAACGGGGAGGGAGACACAGGAGGACACGAGAGGAAGACATGTGGCCATGGCCACGTATGGAAGACATGCTTTTTCCAATTACTCTATACAATCATGTAATGTATAATTGAGCTTTGGGCTCAAAACTGGGATACCATCCAAAGGCTGAACAAGTCCATGGCCACCTGGCTGACTTGGCTTGCTCATATGTCGCTGAAGAACATACCATCTGTTTCGGAGGCTTCTTCCACTGCAGACCCACCGACCGGTCTAAACCTTCCACCGCTGAGCGCACCGAAGACCCACCGGTACCTGCGCTGCGGATGGCGACCGCCTTGGTGGGGACTGCCTCGGTCGCGGTGGTCGCTCGCGGGTCGCGGCGGACGATCAGGTGCTTTGGGGTGAACTTCAACCGGAACCTGGAGGGCACGAAGCTTCCGGCGCGGCTTGGCAGCTTCCGGCGGCCGCGAAGGGTGGGGGAAGAAGAAGCACCAGGGGAACGGGCTGAGTGTGGCATGGGGCGTGGCGCAGTGGGAGATGTTGATTCATGAAGGCGAAAGTGGGTACAAGAGGAGAATGAATGGATCTCTCTTGCCGTAGCCGAGGTTTCATGACTGGAACGAAGCATTTCCTTTCTTTACCCGTTCTGCCTCCATTTCTTTTTCCGTTCCTTTGGTGAGATAGATTTGAATACCACTCCAACTGAAAGAGAATCCTTTCGGACAAGTACTCTTCGTTCTCTCGACACGCGTGGGCCGGCGTGCACGAACCAGAAGATTGTGTGGCCCTCTCTATGCCGAGAAGGACGGGCATGGGTCATCGGTCGGTAGGGAAATTCAATCTGATGACTTATGGGCTTGTCTCGTGCAAGGCCATGTCCATTTGACCCACAAGAAATACCTGGACACCCAAACAACAAAGCAATACCTGCAAAAACACGTGGATGTTTCCCCAAACAAACACGTGCTATGTACTGGTATACAGGATCTCAATTGCCATATGGCAGTAGGTCAAAACCCGAAGCCCTAATCCTTGCTCTTGTGAGGGGTGTGTAGACAGCGTTCGCCCGCGAGTTCGAGCCCTAATCCCTGGTAGGTTGACCACCTCAGTAATCCATTCTGTTGTATTCTGTTCATTTTCCGTGGTCAAGCAGGGTCGCCCAATGCATGCAGCATGACCTGGTGCCCAACCCATGGATTTCTGGGACATTGGTGGAACTGGGTTTTCAGGTCAAAAGACTCATCAAAAGGAGGTCGACCCATTAGGTGGACCCTCCAGAATTGCCACACACACCCACCACATGCACACACACACACACACACACCCCACGTGCGCACACACACACACACAACACACACAACACACACAGCACCAGTCCAAAAAACAGATTGAGTCCATGACGCTTTCTGTTGGTTGGTCATGATGACCTCAGTCATCATGTCACATCCACACCAGTCCCGGGATTTTCGGACCATGGCCGACACCGAACAGCGCAGCCCACGCCCGCAGCCCTTGCCCGTGTTGCACCCGAGGAATTTGCAGCGCTTGAGCTTTGGGCGTGACTTTAATCAGAAGCTCGACAGAGCCTTGGTGAGCACAGCTAGTATTGGCGTTTTTTTGCATGGCTTGGAGTCATCAAGGGCAAGGGGTTTGATCGGGTTCACTTGTTTGATCGGCCCGTTAAATGGCTGGTCAGGGAGGAATCACCTGTGCTATATAAGTCGGTTGATCCGCCAAAGACGCAAACTCTATTTCCTTCTGGTCGTAGGGGTTTGCAAGAGCTTGCCTTTTCTGCTAGGAGACCTCAGTGGGGGCTTGGGGAGCGCCCCGCACATTGAACATCCTGTTTGGTTCAGCTAATCCCGACGAGTTTGGGCCATAGACAGGGAATAGACTTATGTAGGCCAAACGATTTGAAGGGGTTTTCAACCAAAACGGTTGTACCAGTGTTTTTTGTTTTCAATCCAACTTGTCAACCTGTCATGTGTGGTCCTGGCACCTTCAGAATCATAGGGTTTCCTCAACCACGACAGCCGCATCCCACCATCGTTTCGTTCAAAACGGGCATCACCCCACAAAGACTCTTTTGGAAGGGCGCCTCTAGGTGTCTCAAGTGGACCTATTAATAGATTCATTACTCCGATGGAGCGTGCCTCACCTGCTTCATTTGCTCCTATGTGCTTGAGTTTTTGCTTTGTCCCCCCAAGAAAGGCACCACGCATCCCCCGCCAACGGGTCGCACCACCTGCACCTGCGCTCTTCTCACCTCGAAATATCTCCGGTCCCCACCGGGCCATCCGGTGACCAAACCCGACACCACCGGGCACTTTCTCGCCACGACGTGTTCTCCGAGTGGGGGAGAGACAGTTCGTTCGTGCGTTCGCCCAGGAGTGGAGCTGCCAGCGAACCTGGAGAGCTTAAAGATGGGCTTTAGCTTCAACCGCGCTTTGGAATCGAAGAATGAGCTCGCTGGTGGGCGGTCGGTGGGTTCGGCGATGACAGAGTTTGTTTTTGTTTGGGCGGGGGGCAGGCGAAGGCATGAATCGGCATGAAGAAATGGGGGGGTGAGCAGGAAGAAAGAGGGGTGGGGTGTGGGCCAGAGGCTGTGTGTTTGCGTTCTTTTTTTCTTTTGTTTTGCTTCTCTGGTCTCAGAGGAACACTCAAGAAGGGGTCGACGAAGTGAAAGGGGCACTTCTGCTTGGCAGGTGGTAGCTCCCCTCTGAGAGCAACCATGGAAAGCATGGATGCTGTTTGGGCTTTGAAAAGCCAAGTTGTGGAATTGTTTGGGGAACTCTTTGGAGTCAAAGGTTCAGAGTGAGACTTGTTGCCAAAGTTGGGAAGAGGCGATTCGGCTATTCCTTCCCAATGAGCTGCTTCCCCGAAGGTGTGACAGTGGCCAAACTCCACCTCTTCGTAAGGAACGGCTCAGGCTGTTGTCCCTGAAAACGGTCGTTCGACTACGACGGAGTTGGTCTGACAATCATGGTGTTTGTAGAGAGTCTAGTCCGACAATCCAAGGCAACGCGTGATTCCTGGGATAGAGGCTATGCAAGGAGTCAGTTGATTCTGATTCAATGCGCAATCTCCAAGGAGAGCTGGACAAAGTGAAGTTCCCTCCTGGACTGCAGAGCCTCACGCTACTTGGCGAGTTTTATTTGTTTGAGTGGTACTTGGGCTGATGCGGCGTAACTTAACTTGATTGAGATGTACATGTGGGCGTGTATCAAAATAGGGCGAACCAATGAACATCGGGAAATAGACCAGTCTACCCATTGGGGCGATCGGGGGTCCCCCTATTCTCACACACTCAAGATCATGCGTACGGAAATTGAAAGCCACTCGCCACACGGCAACCTAGGTAACCACACTCCTAAGAGGCCAGGGAAACAACAACCTAAAAGTAGTCAAATCCAAACCCAATCAAATTATCATCCACAGCTCATGAAATCGAAAGATCGAAAGGCGAAAGGTCACGACAGGTTGACGACGTTCGCTCGCAACTGCAGAGTGCAAAACGGATGCGATGGCTGGAGTTCTTGTTCTAGCTAAAAGCAGGGGCCCAGAAAGAAGTGAATGGTAAGCATCTTCTCGTAGGTACGTGCAATCTGCGTCCAGATTGCATATCACAGCAAACTTGAAGTGTCTTCGTTGAGCAGTGACTTCAAGAATGCCCACCGCTCCCCTGCTGCAAAACAACAAACTCAACGGAATCCCAATGACTCCAAGGGTTTCACACACACACACACACACATGTGGCTTTGCGTTTCAGCCAACGTGACATGGGAGGACTCGAGGCTCCGGTGTGCGCATGCTTCGAAGTTCGGATCCCACTTTTCGGAAGACCAAACAAGCGGCGAACTCCACCCTCATGAGAGTTCTTGGAAAAAAAGAATTCTTGACTGTGTCACATGGGTGGGTCGCTTGGGGTCCCTTGAAGGGTCGCTTGGGTCCCTGTGTGGCCTTCTTTCTACGCAGAGGTGGTGTGAGGATGCTGTGGTCCAAAATTCTACAAAATTCTACAGTAAGCGTTTCACTTGGAAGAACTCAAGACTCTTCAGGGCTGTTTTGTTGGACGCCAAAGAGTGTTGGTTGTTTCGTTGCCTTCGTTTTTTTGAGCAGTTTTTGGTCATGGTCGTTTCGCAAAAGCGCTCTTCATAAGGCTCAAGGCACTAGGTTTTTTTCGGTCAGTTGTACCGGCTTCTGTGTGTAGAGAGCAAGCCGATTCTGTCTTGGAGAGGAGGGAGGGAGAGGAGAGAAAGAGAGAGAGAGAGAGAGAGCGAGTGTGTTTCTTGCGTTGGCAGGGCTACAGAAGACAAGAGGTAGGTAGATCATGGCAGGTGGCATGCTTTCCGTCTACAGGAGAATCTGTAGAGGGTGCCAGATTCAAAAAGTTTATAGCTCAATGATCTAGAGACTCGACTTTGCAGCTACTGTTTGACGCTTCTTGGAGATTCAAGTCAATACCTGAACGACAACGTTCTACGGCCACGTCCACCCCCGTTTGGGCTAAGTAGGTTTTGTTGCAACCCTGCCAGTAGAAGATCCTGTCCATGGAAAGCAGCTATTAGGCTATTATGTTCCGTTCTAAAAGAGTGCTTGCTGAAAAGGTTGCTAGTAAGGCTACATGCAGCCCTCAGCCTTGTGTGTCAGCCGGGTCATTCAAAGTTCGGCAGCGTGGAATACACGAGTGCCCAGTGCCGAGTAGCATGTACAGGAGCTCCAAAGGAATGTTGGTAGCGTTCTGGGCAGGCTCGGCGCTTGAAAGTTCGCAGTTGTGACGGGGTGCGGGTCCAAGTTGAACAGCTGGAGCACACGCGGAAGCTGGCAGCGGATACAGGCCTGGCGGCCTCTTTGGGCACCACGCCACGGTGCTAAGATTGCATTTCTAGGAGATGTTGCCTGTCATGAGCGCTGGTAATGTGCTGAGGTTGGGGGAATCCTTTGCCCAAAGCTTGGAGAAGGTCTCTTTCCCTCGGAGACTTTCGGACGAATGCGGCGGAAACGGTCATCCAGAGGTTCAATTTCTGAGCGCAGCGGGAGGAGACTAAGAAAGCTTTTAATTGAACTTCACCAATCCGAGGAGATCAAGAAACGTTCTGTTGTGAAGCATTTGCAGTAACTCTGGGAATTCCTGGCCGGGGTTCAGGCATTTGATGCAGCGAACCATCTTGAGTGTATTTTTGGCCTTATGCAGTTTGGGAGACCGACACTAGAGCACCGTATCCACCAGCAAACTAAGATTCTTGATGTGTTGTGCTTGGGGCTATTTCGCTTTGGAGCGATGAGGCAGACCAACCCAACATTGAACTGCATACATTGAACAACCACTTCATTATTATTAATTGTTCCTCGGTATATACACACATGGACGCAGTATATATACATATTATATGATATGCGTGCTTATGAATTTCATTCCGACCAGGAATCAAAGTAAACTTGTGCACAGTTCATGGGCAGACGACACCAGAATTTGGCATCACAATTCGGTTAACTGTCCATTCTACCTGCCGATTTGTGTGTATGGGTTGTTGGATGCGCGCAAGCCTGATATGCCTTTGATTCGCCACCAATGGCTAGTTCAGCCATCGAACATTTTTGAATTGAATTTCACAATGTGTGCAACATGGCCACGGACTTTGAACTGTCATAGTTGGACTTGGTGGCGTCCTGAATCGACTAGAATCATAGGAATCATAGAGTATGGAACCTGAACAGAGGACCGATTTCCTTTGAGAAACACTAAACCTTTTTAAGCTCCTCACCGTGGAAAACCTGACCCAAGGCCTGCGTTGCTTGACGCTGTTGGGCCTCATGTGGCCCAACCTGGATTCCAACGCCTGGACTCCAAGGGAGACGGCTGGGGGACGCTCCGGGTTCCGGGTGACCGGCTCATAGAACGTTGGTCCGGGGTGGATGTTTCATATGTCACCCAACGATGTCGAACGAGCTTGGTTTTTGGATTCATGATACTTAGTGGACATGTTTCCAAGACATAATGCCAAGGGTCGGATGGAGAAGAGGAAATGAATGCCGCCCCAGGGTCGGATGTATCGAACATGCTTTCGATCTATTGGATTCTCATGTGTGACAACCTTGGCTTTTTGGGGTTCTCAGTGGAACTTCTGGTTGGTGTGTTTGAAGAAGGTTTCGCTAAAACCCTACATTGGCAAACACGGTGGGTTTGGGTGCTTGAGAGTTCCTCGCACTCTGGTGTCTTCTCGCTCTATGTCGTTTGCACACGATGTGGTCGAAGTTTCCAAGCTCAAACACCTCAGGACGGGAACATCACATGAAGTGGAGGGTTCCTTTGCCTTGGTTTGAAAGCACTCAGTTGAATCGTGGTGTGCTTTCCCCTATTGGCCGTGCGGCCGAACACCGCTCACTTCGATCACCGGTGCTTTGCATGGAGGTCGATGGAATTCGACAAGCTCGATGTGGGTGGGGTAGAGAAAATACCCGAAGAGTCTGGGACCCCATCCACAAAGAGCCAAGATGTAGGAAGTCCCGCTTGTTTTTTTTGTTTTATTTTGATTTCTGATTGTGACGTCTTTGCGTTTCTAGTTCTTCTTTTCTCCCCAAAAAGACGCTGTTTTGGGCTGCTCCGGAGCCGCACTCCCGCGCCTGCCGCACTCCCACGCCGCCGTTTCTTTGTTTGGCCAAAACGGAAGGCGAAGAAAGAAACACGTTTCGATTGGTTCGGCCCGACCATCTTCTTTCACCCCAATGACATCAAAATGATGAAAAGCAGACCCACCAGCAAGCCTTCTTGGTGTGGCAAGAGCTTGCACAAGCTGCATGAACTCCTGCTTCCCTTTTCCATGCGGAACCTGCAGAAATTCCAAGCTCCTGGAGTCCTTCCTGGCTGTTGAGCCCTTCTCTGAACCCGAACCGAGCTCGCAAAGGATCCCAAAGGTTCGCGTTCGCGGAGCTTGTATCTTCGCGCCGCATCGTTGCGCCGAGGATCTTCCGGACTTGGAGCAACTCCACTGTCGTGGCATCACCTTGGGCTTCCACCCGCTCTGAGCGCGAGCGACGGTGACAACTCCGTCAGCGTGCGGCTGCTGCAAGCTGCTGCGAGCAAGCTGCTTTCTGCAGAGGAGCTTCAAGCTGGCCGTTTTCCGGCTGTTTCTCGCCGGGGCCGGGGTCCTTCCTGAAGGGAAGACTCCCCCGCCCAGCATGTTCTCTCCCTTTTCAGCGTCTCGTCACCCGTTCGAGACACTGTTTCGGGGGTGAGATAATGAAGGGCTGTGGAATGTCGACTCCGAGTCAGTCCATTGTGTGAAGCCAAATATGCCTCAAGATTTGTTGTTCAAAGGTCATGGCTCAACTAGGATTTTGTTGAGGCTTAGTTCTCAGACTCCCCTGAAGCAAGAAGGACGCGACGAACTCGTATACATTGCCAGCCCTGTGCGGAGTCACGCTCAGACTTCTGGTCCAATCCCAGCTCAACGGGGCCCGGGACATTCTCAGTGGTGGCCAGCTGAGCTCGCGTGAGCGGCGCCTGATTCGAAGCCTAGCGGATGTTGGGTGTATCAGAACCATGTGAAGGAGTGATACCATGTAGCGGACCGATGCAACAAAACAACGCAGGTGTACAAGTAGATGTGTTGGTCACACTAGGTATATGTTGGTCATGCCCCCATGATATGTACATACCAACCTCTTAATATTCCCTTAGAGGTTAAGGGATGTCCATTACCCATATATGTAATCAGATGCCCACCTGTCAATTGGCACATCTACTCAAAAAGACATTTTACACCACTGACTGCCCTGATGACTTAGGTATCATTGGATGCCCTGGATCATCTCATCCCACGGTTCAAACCTACCCGCCCACTGGTTCGAAACTGTTTTCTTAATTCTTCTTTGTGTTTTTTCGCACTTCGTTCGGAAGCAGGCAGACCACTTTGATCAGACCGCTGGTTAAGTCATCATCATTTTCCCCCACCCAAACCACTTGGACCCAGTGGTTGCGGCTGGTGTGCGGTTGTTACGAGGGAACCGGGTGTTGCTCACGTCGAACTCTCCGCGTTCTCCGAGCACTTGGCCGGTCCCGAGTCAAAACCGCTGCGGTCGCGGGACCGAACCGCAGCACGTTCCGATCAGAGGGGGCCGCTTTCATGAAGCTTCGGAATTGACTGTTGGAGGGGGCGAAGCGAAATATCTCAGACATGTGGATCAATCGCCAGTGTCAAACTCCAAATCCATGGCAGGTCAAATCATTCTTGGTGGATGAATTGCCTCTAGGTGTAGTCTGCGGGCACAGTGACCCTCCTGGAAATGAACATGGGCTTCAGAAACCACTGGGTTGTAGCAGAACATGCTCTAAAAGACCACGGGTCAATCTTCATTCAGGGTCCTTTTTTTCCACCGCAAACAGCCTTTTGTTGAAATTGGTCTCATGAAATTAGTTTCGAGATCAACCGATCTGTGGGGATTGTTTTCGTTGTTTTTGCGTCAGTAGTTGAAGGTAGCTGACCCCATACATGCATGAAATGGTGACTAATTCTTACCTCTGTTCTTCTCCTACATGGTCTTTCTGAAGATACTTAAAGGGGAGAACCTCGCACAACCAGCATGAGCACCATCCAGCGGCCATTCCGCGAGGAATTCCACACAAACAGATCCCTTATAATTGTAACAGTGTAACTACCTTGTTATTCTTCGATGGTGCGTGCTGTATCATGCAGCAGCTGCTGATTGCCATCAAGTGTACATCATATATATATATATAATGGTATATTTAGAACCTGATTGATCCCTGTTTTGGAGCCCACACATGTTTTTTATTATCAAAAGAAAGGTCCAATGGGTTCCAAGTTCTAGTTGATGCAATCACTGCAATCTGAGCTTTCACAAGTCGGTACCTGATAGAGCTACGTTTTGACGAACGTGTTCTGGTTTTGTTGGGTGTTGGCAGACGCGTGTGGGGTGCGGGACGTCAAGCGTTGTGCCGTGTTGCGTGGCACGGGGGAACCACCCGAAGCAGGAGACCCCGAGGTGCTTCCACTCCGTCGCTCTCTTCCGATCCTTCTGGTCTTGGTGAAGGGCGAAGGGCGGTGGAGATTCCACCGTAACCACCGGGGTGCGGCATCCATCGTCACCCGGGGGGGGCGCGAGAGAGGCGTTGCGTATTTTCGTGACTTCTGACCAGTGGCCTGGGTCGGATCGACTTATGGCGGTGTCACACCCTTACCCTTCGACCGTGGCCTCTCTGCACCGAGCTCTCCGACGCGGGAGCAGTCTCGAGGTGCTACGGGCGGTGAAGGGCCTGAAGAGCTGCGAGGCGGAGAACTTCCTGGAGGCGCGGGCGTGGCGTCGGCGCGGCGCTTCGAGTCGTTGGGTGGGTCCGCTGGGTGTAGATCAGGTGTGCTTCTTGCGCACCCAACAAGGTGAGAGGTGGTGAAGAATGGGTGAGAGGTGCGGACATTTCAGAGTGAACTGTGTGAACATCTCCGGTATAGGCAGAGATTTTTGAATAGAGTGTTTCAGGAGTCTGTGATGTCGAGGAGGATCTCCCGATGATTTTTTACTGGTCAAAGAGACTCTCCAAGAGTCCTTTGGCATCCAGGCCTTTTCTGACAATCCGCATTAAAGTCTCCAGCATATTCTGGATATGTCATGATGCGTCCTGACTTTCTACCACTTCCCTTGCCCAACACATTTGCCAGCATCGGTCAAGTGTCTCAAGAACCCTCGAGGCACAAAGCAGTCAAATTGGAGTCGTTCGGAACCAGTCACGTCTCCACATACCCGTGGATTCGATCTCTGCGGGAGTATTTCCTGCCCAACTTGCTGACGTCCAGCACCGCATGGAAGTGGATGGCATGGATTTGGAAGAGCAACCTTTTTGTCACTTTTGTCACTCTGCAACCAGGTTCACCCTTTTTGTAACCCCCACTACACGAAGTGGAAGGGTTCAGACTCCGCCCCTCTCACTGGTGCAGCTTCCCCTCTCGGAGGCTCCGAACACCCGTGTAGCCCGCCCACGCCACGCGGTGCAAACACACCCCGCGGCCGGGGGTGTTCCACCCCACCGCTGCAGGCCTTGGCGGCGCTGGACGTGGCCTTGTCCGAGCAGTTCCCCCTCACCGGTCGGCGCTCAGTGGATGTGGACAGCGGAGGAGTAGGGCCAGCGGAGGAGGCGGAGGTTGGGTGGTTTCTAAGATGTTCTAAGGTGCACCAGGCGTTGGACGGAAGTGTCCAAGTACCAGCACTAGGGAGTTGGAGTGGTTGATCGACATCCCTGACTATGCCTTTTCCGTGGTGCTGGTAAATGACCCTTTGTTTCACTCAAAGAAGGAACACACCTACTACCCACTGTTGGTCCTATTCGCTGCAACTTCCTCAGGAAACAGAGTTTGCAGAATTTGTCAAGGCAATGTATTTCAGGATCACACTCTGCCGGCTAAAACGAGGCATTTGGGTGGGCACCGGGTTCTGTAGGATGTCAAGTGGCTTGATGCATCTTGGACAGTCTCACAGTCGCAGACCTCAAGTGTTTCGGCCGTGGCAAGCCACATCTGACCTCCAGATGGTCTAAGTTTGGGTCACAGCTATTGATCACCAGGCGGTCAGACATGCGGTCAGACATATATGGCTAGACATGTGGGCCATGGCACCCGGGCGCCCTGGGCCAGACCACCGAACAATGGGAGGTCAACCTGGGAAGAGGTGCCATGGACGAAAACCAGCGTGCCAACCACAACGGAGCGTGCCACCCCGAACCCTCCTTCCGGACGCTTCTGCTGCGAAGCCAGCGCGCTTCCGCGATGCTCTGGACCGGGGCATTGGAGTCGTCTCCGGTCCCCCCGGTCCCGCGAAGTGGGTCCGAGGGAACTCCGGTCGCACCGCAGCAGGTGAGCTTGAGGCAGAGCTCCAAGAGGAGGCACCCACGCCCCGGTTGTTGGCACTGATGCAAGAGTCTTCCGGGCCGGCGGGGGGGTTCTTGTTCATCGTCTTTCTTATGCTTCTGGTGGTGTTGGTTTTGGTCTGCCGAACCATGGTGGTGGTCTACCGATCCTTGGGGCTAGCAGAGCGGATGCATGGATGGAAGGTACTTGAAGCATGGCTGCATGCCAAGCGCTCAAAAACCATCTGAGGTGACCATATGAAGATCCAGCACCACGCCACTGATCTCCATCCCAACCATGCCGAAGAGAAGGGTGCTACGTCTATAGTCGAAGAGTGGAAGAGTCTGAATGAGTCTACAACCCACCTGGGTGCGAAGAATTCTGATCGTTAACAGAACATTTTTTTGGGGGTCTCCAAATCACACCTTTTGGGCCATCCTCCTCGAAGACAAGGCTCTTGCACCATGGCTTGAAGCACATCTAATAGATTTCAGCACAGCGGACGCATGTATCTTTCTTAATGCTTCACAGCCATCTGGTCCAACACCGCGGGCCTGTGCGCCCATCCAAACCAACGCCACGCCACGCGAACCCAAACCGCCACACCCAAACCACCAGGGGACTGGACCACCGAAACCACCCGACACCGTCTCGCTTCGCTGGACCCTTCGCTCTCCGTCCGTCCGGCGAGGCTGGGAAGGCGTTGGAGACCAAGGCCAAAGAGCGAGGACTCAACGACCCGCCGGGGAACGCAGCCAGGGAGACAGCTGGCTGAAGCGCGAACGCCACGTCCCGCGCGCAAGATCGCGAAAGGCGACGGAACGCGGTGGAGCTCCGAGGTGTGCTTGGGACCGTGGGGGAAGGTTACCGAGTGGAGAAGACCTGGTGTGGTTTCGAGGTGGAAAAGACAGGGTGGAGTATTGGAAAAGACTTAAAGACTCCCTGTATGTGTCTGTCTTTTACTTATGCGGTGGACCGTGGACCCCTTCAATGTGCATGGCTGTGGATGGGCGCCCGCAGCACCCCAGTCCCGGTCGGACCCATACGCACGCAACGCACGTCGCGAGCGAGGTCCCACTATGGCAAGGATGGTGCGGCCTCCACAGACCGATCTCGCGCAGAAACGGTAGTGGGACCGCGGAGCTGGCGGAACTGGGAATGGTTTCCAGTTGGATGGTGAGAAGACAGAGAGGATCAACACGGAGTTGGGCCCATATTCATGGCGCCCACTTGGCATGGTGGGGTTTGCCAGTGACTGCTTTTTTGGAACATATAATTCATATACTAGTTACTAGCACCTTCCAACAGGTCTCCGAAATGGAGGCTTTTGTAGACTTTTCCAAGTCGCAGGTGGTGACCTGTTGACAGGTCCTGGTAGATGAATATGGTTGATAAGGTTATGGTCAAGGTACTGGTTCCAACCAGTCCTCATATATATATATATATATATACCTTAGAAGTCCAAAGACAATATTTTGACCGGCTGAAACAAAGGAACTTCCCTTTCAGGTCCCCTAAAGACCATTCTTTTTATAGTCTTTGACTCCCAGGGTATATATAGTCCACCAGGGTATATATAGGTCCTGTTGGTCAAGATGTATCACCTGATGTATCTCTGCACCTTTGTGCCGATCGTGCAGACGACCCCCAACCAACGGTGGGACACCCACTTCGGCACCGCACCGCACACCGGGGCAGCTTCCGTTTCGCACCCTTCGGGACCCTGGTTATGGCACCACCTGCGCGAACCGGCTGGCCGGTTCCAGAGATCCCCAGCAGGTTTCTTGACATGGTTATAGCTAGTTGACAGGTAGATCTGCCCCATAATGGGCGTGGTTGGCGGCGTGGTTAGCAGGTAGATCCCTATAGCAGCCCCTGACGTAAGATCTCAAAACAATGATAAACAGATTAAACAATAGATAAACAAGATACTACTACAAAACACAAAAAGATCCACAGCCTGTCCTGCTTTTGGTATCCCTTCCCTCCTGAGGCGACGAGGCTGGGAAGGGGCTTTGGAAGGTGGTATATGGGGGGGTCCAAGTCTCCATGTCGTTTCGTGACATCGAGGGGTGGACACCAAGGTGAACATGGAGAAGAGATGGAACCACGAACTGGCACTTAACTCAATGGATTCCCGGCCCATCATTGATTTATAATGATATGGTATGTATTGGTGTTTTACTGAACAACCATTCTTTTGCCAAGGATTTAAGACTATAACACGAGGTCAACCCTTCTTGCGACCGGGTACGTCTTGAAGATGGTTGTTCGAGACCTACATAGACGGAGTACGGAGTCTGCTTCCTCGAATCAACCCGAGCTTTCGGTCTCTTTCCGGTGCGGAAGCGTTTCCGGAGATGTTCATCATCCCAAACCTATGGGACTTGGTAACAAGGGGCATCGCGGCATCGCAACGGAGCGATCGGAGGCTACGAGGTAGTAGAGTTAGCAGCTCCTGGCCCTGAGGACTAGCAAGCTACGAACGGACCCAAAAGGCACCTATCGTATTAAGAATAGGGAGACACACCCAGCCAGACCCCTGGAAGAAGGACGTCTACCCAGCCAGGGCCAGCGGGTCGGGTCTCTCTCTATTATCACACCCCACTTTCAGGCCCTGTGGCGCTCAAAAACGCGGTGGAAGGGGGAGGAGCTTTCCATTTTCTCTACAGATGAACATGGACTCCCAAAAGCACTGGGTTGGTCTTCGGACCATGGTCCAAACCATAGGTCAAGTCTCAGGTGTCATGTGATCGTTTGCGGGTCCAGATCTATTTGGGGGTCACGAATCGCTGTCAGGCTGAAATCTGGAACTGCGATCGGGCTGAGATATGGTGATGTCACGGTCTTTTGTATCATTGATCTCTACGTCAGCAAGTCACATGCCCGAGCCCTTGATCCCTGTTGATTTCAATTTGCGCATGGGTTTCCAATCAGAGAATTTGTTGACGAAGAACCGCGTGTTTTCGAACAAAAGGATGTTGGTCAACACCACTTGTTGTTTGGTGAAGGCACCAACATGAATGGAATGTCTGCTGAAGGAAATCCCTATACCAGCACCCTCCAACAGGTGCTTCCTGGTGACAACAGGTGCCCAGAAACCACCTGTTAGGGTCTCCAAACAGCCTGTTGGAGGGTCCTGGTATATACAATTCTACCTGGACTTCCAAGCCCACTTCAGGGCAAGGAGGAGGATGAGGATGAAGCAGACTCAGACGAGGTGGCAGCCAGCGGCTCTGTTGGGGCAACAGGGTGTCAGTCAGATGCCTGAAATAGCTTCTTCGTGGTTTCTTTGCTGACCTTCTCCTAGGACCTAGTGCTTACGGTTTTTTTCTGCTAGGCCGAGCACATCTGCCATTTGAGCATGGATGATGTGGCAGAAGCATTGTTGAAGCGGTGGCAGCCTGTTCTCCGCCAGTGACCAAGCTTGTCATCAGGGTCGAGCTGTCTGTGCCCATTTGGCGGACTTTATATGGGCTCAACATACTTGGGAATCTCAACGGTCTGCCCACGTCCGTTTTGGCCAGGAAAAGAAGGAGGAGAAGGAGGAGGACGGCGAAAACCTGATGCCGATTTTATCACCATGGACTCGTTGGCAAAAGACACCCTCAGAAGCTCTGGCCTTTCTCATGGTCATTCAATTGGCTGTGGGTCAAAACCAGGTTGACCTACTGTACCTGGAAAGTCAAGCTACATGGTGGACCAAGTTAGCCTCCCCTGTCAGCGGATTTGGCGCCCAAAAGCGCCATACCCGGCCCACACTCGGCCTCCCTGGTCGAACCTGGGGCCTAAAGCAGAGACCGTTCTCTAGTTGTGGGACGCGTCCCACATCTGGTGGCGCATGGACACCATGGCCGTTCGTCCATGGTGTGGATCACCTGCGCAAGCCACCCAAGCGGGATTTTCAGGACATGTCAGGGATTTTCAGGACACTTTGAGCAACAAAATCACGTGAAACGACCTCTACACCCCACAAGTTTGACGAACAGGTGGCAAGTTCGGTGAAGCGTTTTGTTGAGGGGGCTTCTGGCCGAGTCGGGCAGGGGGGGTCGCGGTTGGATCCCTTCCTCTTCCAGGCACAGTACAGGTTTCACCCGCTGGGTCTGACCTGCTTCGAGGCAGATGATGATGATGATGATGATGATGATGATGATGATGATGATGATGA